AAGGCCGGGAGGCGCGCGCTCCGACGCGCATCGGCCAGGGGGGTGCAGATGGGTCTAAGCTAGACTCTGCGTGGCGGGGTGGGCCTACCGGCGAACGCAGCAGCTCCAGGGCCACAGTGCCCTGCCTGGCACCCAGCACTCGGCGAGTGGCTCACTAGCAGAACTGACAGTTTCCCCTCCCTGGGCTTCCCAGGGCAACGCGGGCCAGGCAGCTGACCAGCTGTGGGTGTGCTCTGTGGTACTCTGTGGATTCACGCCGTGGGTTCACTCTGTAGGCACAGTCTCTGGGCTCCGTGGACTCTGTGGGCTCCCTGGACTCCGTGGGCTTTGTGGGCTCCTTGGGCTCTGTGGGCTTTGTTTTATTTTTAACTTATTATTATTTTTTTTTTGCTTTTTGGGTCACACCCAGCAATGCTCAGGGGTTACTCCTGGCTCTGCACTCAGGAATTACTCCTGGTGGTGCTCGGGGGACCTTATGGGATGCCGAATGAATCAAGTGAGATACAGTTACAGACTTACAAACTTTTGTGATCATGTTTCAGTCATACAAAGCTCAGTACCCATCCCTCCATCCAAGCCTTTCTCCACCAACAACGCTCGCAGCGTCCCTCCCGCCACTCCTCCCCTTCCTGCCTCTGTGGCAGGCACATTCTCTCTCTCTCTCTCTCTCTCTCTCTCTCTCTCCCCCCCCCCCCCTTTAGGGTGTTGTGGTTTGCAACACAGGTAGTAAGCGACCATCATGTTCAGTCCATAGTCTACTTTCAGCACGCATCTCCCATCCCGAGCGAGCCCCCAAACCATCATTACTTCGTGGTCCCTTCTCTATCCCAGCTGGCTTCTTCCCCAGCACATGAGATCAGCTTTCAGCCCCTGGAGCGATGCTCCTGGCCCTTGTCTCCACTATCCTTGGGTGAAGGTCTCCCATTATGCTACTTTGTACTCACAAATGAGTGCAGTCCTCCTCTGTCTGTCCTTCTCTTTCTGACTCATTTCACTTAGCATGACACGCTTCATGTCCATCCACTTGTATGCAAATTTCATGATTTCGTCTTTTCTAACAGCTGCATAGTATTCCATTGTGTAGATATGCTACAGTTTCTTTCTCTTTTTTTGCTTTTTGGGTCACTCCTGGTGTTGCACAGGGGTTTCTCCTGGCTCTGCACTCAGGAATTACTCCTGGCAGTGCTCGGGGAACCCTATGGGATGCTGGGAATCGAACCCGGGTCGGCCGCGTGCAAGGCAAATGCCCTCCCCGCTGTGTTATGGCTCCATCCCCCCAAAGTTTCTTTAACCAGCCATCTGTTCTCAGACATTCAGGTTTTTTCCAGATTCTGGCTATTGTAAAGAGTGCTGCAGTAAACATACAAGTGCAGATGTCATTTCTACTGTTTTTTTGTTTCGTCTCCAGGATATATTCCCAGAAGTGGCATTGCTGGGTCAAAAATGGGAGCGCCATTTCTAATTTTTTGAGAGTCGTCCATACTGTTTTCCAAAAGGGCTGAACCAGCCTGCATTCCCACCAGCAGTGAAGGAGGGTCCCTTTCTCGCCACATTCGCGCCAACACCGGTTGCTTTGGTTCTTTTGGATGTGGGCCAGGCTCCGTGGTGTGAGATGTCAGAGTGCTCCATGGGCTCCCTGGGCTCTGGGGGCCCCATGAGTGCAGCCCCTGGGCCCATGGGCGCATTTTGTGGAGTGTTCTGTGAAGCGCCCATGTCTGCCCAAGGCTCGGCTGCCACCTGCTATCCTGCCAGGGGGAGAGCCACGCAGCACCCTGGCCTCACGGCGCCCAGTGCTGGGGCTCGATCTTCCTCTCTGGGAACCGGGGGAGAGGCCCCACTCCTGCACCCAATGTGGGCCGCTGCGGCGGGTGGGCAGGAAACAGCTGCCTGGGTGGGAACGGACCAGGGCCAGGAGGGCCTGTGGGTCGGCAGAGTCCCAGGGGTGACGCCCACAGCCAGAGCCAGACAGAGCCAGCAGGAGCCAGGCAGCACCTGCGGCTCCTTGACACCCGAGTCCCAGAGCACCTGACGGGTCGCTGCTCCCGCCCGGGCTGCTGGGTCGTTCCCTCGGGTCCACGCCCCTCGGCCCACCCACCCCCCTGGGCCCACTCCCCTGGGAGCCCCTTGCCCAGTCTGCAGTTGTTCAGCTCCTTCCTGGCTGTGGAAAGCGCAGAGTGAGGAGCTTTCCACAGGTCCGTCCTGGTTGTCAGGAGGAAGCGGACTGGGGAGGCAGAGGCAGGCGTCCCGCGGACGTGCGCCTGCCTGGGCCAGGGGCCGAGTCTTTGGCGCGTCGTCGGGAGCCTGACGGATGGTGCTGCCTTAGCAGAGCTCGACTCGGCTGCCTCGTTTTCCTTCTGGACTTTCTGGGCCTCCTTAAGCCTGAGGGCTATTCTGTGTTTCAAAACGTTCGCTCTTGGATGTTTTCACTGCGGACATTTTTCTCGAGGTGATTCTGCTATTCGTTTTATGACACAGATGGTCTGGAGGGCTCTGAAGGAAAACAGGTCCCTTCCACGACTCTCCTTCTGGCTGGGTGACGGGAACGCCATCTCCACACCCAGACGCTAGTGACGGAGCCGGATTTTGTCCTGGGCATTTTGTGGTTTCGTTTTCTTAACATCTGACTCTAGCTCGTCTGACATCCATTTTGTTCCGTGGGGTCAGATTTAAGCAAACTTCCCCAAACAGACTTATGAACTTATAAAGCTCTGCTCTCCCTGCGGCCTGGCAACCCGCTTCCTGCAGATCAAGACGGACACAGAGGCTGAGGCCAGGAGCCCTGGACAGGGCTCGCTCCCGGACAGATCAGAACCTGGGACCGGCGGGAGCCCACGTCCGTGCTGCCAAAGAGGAGGCACGGGGAAGGTAAGAGAGTTCCAGCTGAAACGGGCTCCGTGTCTGTGCCTGTGTCCGTGTGCATGCATGCCTGCACATATGCCTGTGTGCACATACCTGTGTGCACGTGTCCATGTCTGTGTGCACACGTCTGTGTCTGAGTACATACGTCTTGTGCACGTGTGTGTCTCTGTGCATCCGCCTGCACATGTGTCTTTGTGTACAGTATACGTATGTGTCCATGCATGTTTGCACGTGTCCGTGTGCATGTGTCATGTGTGCGTGCCTGTGCGCGTGCATGTCCGTGAACGTGTCTGTGCAGCATATGTTTGTGTGCACGTGTGTGCTCACGTTGTCTTGACGCACAGCCCACCTGGGGGCACCAGCAGGCGGGAAGTCTCCTGAAGCCCCTCATCGGCACTTACTCTCATGAACGAGTCGCTTTTATCCAGTAAACTTTATTTATATATAACAACAGTACAAATGTGTCCTTGGCTTGCAAAATAGGAGTTTTCATATTTACAATAGGTTCACAATAATATATTAGAATAACAAAAACCCCATCTTATTGGAACGTTTTAAATACTTCATTTTCTTACAGTGTTTGATCCACAACATTTGTAAAAACAACAAAAACCAGACAATGATCATTGAATCTCCTTAAAAAATATATATATAACACAATTCCAGTGTCCGCAGGGGCGCAGAGTCCGCGGCTCCCCCGGGCCCGACGGCCTATTCACAGGGCACCTGGCGGACACACGGGGCTCGGGGAAGGGCCCACACAGATGGCTTGCGTGCTCCTCTGTGGAGTTCCCCGGCACGTGGACCCTAAAGCCAGGAGTGACCCCACACATTCACCGTGGACGGCGCTGACCCCGGCCCTTGGGGAGCTGGCCTGGGAGGCCTGAGCGGAGCAGCCCGGCCCGTCCTGCCACCCTGCACCTCCACCTGCTCTCTGCAGGGGCGAGGGCTCTGTCCCGAGGCCCTCTGCCCTGCCACGAGGGGACACGGGGGCGTCCTCGGACCCTCTGCCAGGGGCCGGCCTTGCTGGCCTCCAGCTCACTGTGTCTCTCCACCCGGAGCCACATGGGTCCTGCTGCGCAGAAGGTTCTGGAAAGGGAAGCAGCTTTCTTCCAGGGTGGGGGCATCACTAGCCTCTGCTGCCCCTTCCCTCCGCAGCCCTGCACTCTGGTGGGCTCTGCTGCCCACGGTGGGGGTTGGAGGTGGGAGGGACTGGTGTCCCGGGGCGCCAGCCCCCGCCGTGGGACGTGGGTCTCCAGGCCCCGACTCCTCTGGGTGTCCAGGGGCTGCAGCCAGGCCTGGGGTGGGGGTGCTTTGCTGCCCAGTGGGGCAGTGGGGGCTCACGGCCCCTCCGCGTCTCTGTCAGGGGCTCGGAGCACGGTCCCTTTGGCTTGGTGGGGGAGCGTCCCGCAGTATGGCTGGGGGAGGCAAGCGGGGGCGCGTTTCCTGAGTATTGGGACCGTGTTCCACTCCTCCTCCTTCGGGGGCGGGGTCAGGCAGGGGTCAGCTGCCCTCGGAGGCCCTGCCCGCCCCCAGCCTCCAGCTGGTCAGCAGGAACTTTGGCAATGGGAACTGCTGGGAGACCGGGGTGCGGGGTGCGGGCGATCTGGGCGCTGGTCCCGTGTCCCAGCACCAGAGGCCCAGAATGAGGGGTGTTGGCGCTCTGCCCCCGCACCCCTTCCGGCCCCGTGCCCAATCTCCTGCAGCACAGGGCCCTTCTTCCTCGGGACACGGGGTTCCCAGGGCCTTCTCGGGGAGACTCCTCAGGCTGGCAGGAGGCGGAACGCCGGGAGCCTTTGGTCTCTGGTTCAGGAGCGGCACACGGGACAGTCCCAGGCTCGAGGGGAGCCTCTGGCAGACACTCGCGGGTGCCCGCACGCCTGCTGGCTTCAAGTATTGCTCATCGTTCACACGGTTTGGTCTGTCCCTGCTGGAGGAGAGGCTGGACGGGCCTTGGCCCTGAGCCGGCTGAGGGCCAGGACACGGCCCGCCCGGCCTGGGGGCTTCCGTGAAGGGCCTGCGAGGCCCGTGTCCCCCTGCCGCAGCGGGGCCCCTCCGGCCCTGCCCGCCTCTCTGTGGGCTCCGGCACCCGGGAACGGGAGCCGAAGGAGGAGGAAGGGTGGCAGGCAGGCAGGCAAGAGCCGGACCGGGGGCCAGGGAGGCTCTTTCTGTCGCTTTATTTCTGGTTTTTCCTTTTTCTTAAAAAAACTAGAGTTCTCGTTTCCCTAGATACATCAGTGAGTCGTCATGCAAAGCGGCCTCGCGCGTGGCCGCGCAGCGTCTCCTCTGCTCCCCTGCTGCTGCCCGGCCCTCCGTGGGCGTCCGCTGCCGGGCAGGAACGGTGGTGTGCGGGTCCTCAGGCTCCCCGCGGGCCGTCCTCGTCCTCCCAGGCGCAGGGACCCCCTGCCGTGGGCTCCTCCTCCCGCAGGACCGGCCGCGTCAGCTCTCGAAGGACATGGCGCCGATCAGCTGCTGCACCTTCAAGGCCAGACGCTGGCGCCGGGCCTGCTCGTCCTGCTCCAGGGCCCCGATGAGCTGCGGGCAGAGCCGGGCGTCAGGGCCTCCGCGAGCACGCCCCACCGGCAGGGCGGCGTCTCAACTCAGCACATGCAGGCGAGTGCGCGCAGACCCACGGGCACGAGGCTCGCGTCTGTGAGCTGGCGCACAGGGGCAGGCACTGCACACCCGGATCTCGGGGACACGTGCCAACATGCATGGACCTCACGTGTCCCAGTGCTCAACTCTTTCTCCACACCACGGGCGAGCACACACACGTGCACGCACCCACACATGTGTGTGTGTGTGTGTGTGTGTGTGTAGGTGAGCTTCTCTCTGCACATCCGCGTGTGTGCATGTGCACGGCACTTTGTATGACTGTGTGTGTGTGTGTATGTGCACACACGTGTCTGTCTCAGCACGCCAGGCTTCCTGAGTGCCCATCTGCCAACCGTGACCAACAGCTCTCGGGGCCAGGCTGAGTCAGGCATGGAGCCAGGCTCCTGGGCCCCGGCTGCACTGTGGCCAGCCGGGTGGGGGTCAGGCGAGGGAGGGCAGTGCCTGTGCACCGGGGGTGGGGGGACAGAGGGTGCAGGCGGGCACGTGGGAGGGCGCTCACCTCCTCGCTGTACTTGCTCACGTAGGTGTACATCTCGCTGAGAGCACTCAGCAAGCTGAAGTCGGTGGCGTGCAGGCGGGACTGCTCGGCCAGGTACGCGTTCATGTCCTGGTCGCTGATGGCCGGCAGCTTGGTGATGTCCGCGTAGTATCTGCGGCCGGGAAGACGGGAGCCCTTGGCCTTCCCTGATGGCGCCCACCTCCTGCTCACTCCCTCTCTCGGCTGTGCTGGGGCCCTCCCTGCTCGGTGGGGGTTGGGAGTGTGCCACAGGGCCTTGGCTGGCACAGCTGTGGGCTCTGGAGCAGCGGCTCCACGTCTGAGTGGCCTCCTGAGACCCGGGATCGATTGCTGACTCTCCCAGGGGCAACAACCCCCAGACAGGGCAGGGGCCCTCCAGGGAGCAGCCTGCAGTGGGGTGGTGTCCACCTCGGCCGCCCCCTGCAGGGACCGGTTAGCGCGTGAGGGGGGCTGGCTAGGGGCCGTGGGCCTGAGGTGGGCGGGGCAGGTTCCCTGAGTGTGTTGCCTCCGACCGGACTGGGCAGAACCACCTCGAGGGGTCCTCACCCGCGTGGGGGCGGGGCTGGAGCGGGGTCACTGCACGGGCCGGGAGGGGGCGCACCCACCTCTCCACCCAGCTCTTGTAGCTGGGGATGTCCTTGGCGTAGAGCAGCTTGTTGGAGGGCGAGTCCTTGCCCAGCCGGTGCTCGGACGTGGAGCAGGAGTCCATGAAGGTCTGCGCCACCACCGACAGGCAGGCGTCCGTGATGCTGCCCTTGTGGATGTCAAACACGAACTGCGGGTTCTTGATGACGTTCACCCAGAAGCGCAGGGGCAGGCTGGGGTAGAGAGCGGGACACGTCACACGTCCATGCCCCTCCAGGGGCCAGCAGGGCAGCAGGCCCCCGCGGCCGAGTCGGTCCCCAGACAGAGGGGCCGGGCCCACTCTGTTCCCCGCGCCTCTCTCAGGGACGCCAAAGCTGTGTCCCAAGTTCCTCAGCTCTCTGGACGGATGTCGCTGCACCCTGCCTCCGAACCGTGGCCGCGTGGGTGACCTGGTGCCGGCTACCACCCACAGTCGCCCTCCCCCAGCCTGGCCCTTGGCTGTAAGCACGCTGCCCGGCCACTCAGTGGTGGCGTCTCAGTCAGAGTCCAGCCCGATCCCGGTCTCGGAAGCCGTCCGTGTGGCTGCAGGACCCCCGCACTGCCCCTGGCACTGCCCGCCACCACAGTGGGCCTGCCGCTCCTCCCTGGGACCGTGCCCGCCTGTTGAGGGGACAGAGCGCCCAACCGCGCACACCGAGGGCAGCCCAGGAGGGCAGCGGAGACGTCCCCGACCCGGTTGCTCCCGGGGCCTGCGTGGGTGGCTGAGCTGGGACTGTCCTTGCGGAGATGGGCAGCGGGGAGGGGGCTGGACGGGGGCCGGCTGGGCGGGGGGCCCTGTCCTCCTCACCAGTTGCTCTTCCACGTGTGGCGCACGTCCGTGTCGTGGATGCCGTGTCTGTCCGCCTGCTCGTCCAGGAAGTCGAACATGTACTTGATGGCCAGGGGCAGCGCACTCCCACGGTGGACGGTGCTGAACAGGGTCTCCAGGAGGTCATCCACAAACTTCTGCAGCGTGCCCTGGGGGGCGGGGGGTGGGCAGCCTCAGAAATCGGGGCTCCGGGCCAGAGGAGGGGGCTGCGAGGGCCCGGGGCCCAGCGGTGCCCACCTTGGTGGCCAGCAGGCGGGTGAGGTAGACCTCGGACACCATCTTGCTGCCGCGCTCGCCCTCCTTCTGTTCGCCGTGCTCGTGGTTGCGGACCAGGTGCCACACCTTGGCGCCGCTCTCCAGGTCCGGCGTGATCATGGGCGTGCGCGACCGAAGGCTGTCGGGGCTGCCCGTGTACCTGAAGGAGGAGTCTGGGGCGCGGCACGGTCAGAGACGCGGGGCCCTGGGCCCCAGGGACGAGGGGTGGGCAGGCGACAGAGCTCCCGGGGGTCACTCCCGCTGCGTCACCCAGGGATGCTGAGGCGTGGGGCAGCGCAGAGGGCGCAGGGGTCGGGTTGGCAGGCCCCGAGGGGTCGCAGGGCACTGGGGGTCGGAGGGCGCTAAGGGCTTCAGTGAGCCCTGAGGGGTCAGAGGCCCTGGGGGTCAGAGGGCACTGGGGGGTCACGGGACACTGGGGGCTCCGAGGGTCTGGGCCTGGAGCAGAGCTGGAGGGCAGGGCATCAGGGTGGGCAGCAGATGGGGCCAGGGTCAGCGCTGCCCGCACGGCTGATGGGCGCCCCGAGGGAGGCCTCTGGGCGGTGGGCACTCACCGTATCTGCTGATGGACGAGCGGGAGATGCTGGCGGAGGCGGGGATGTTGTAGGAGGAGGTCTGCTTGGGCACCAGTGCCACCATGGACCGGTCGGCCACCTGCACACAGGAGGTCGCGGGAGGTGGGCGCCCGGGAGGCGGCCGTGAGAGCAGACGAACCCCCTGGTGGCTGTCAGCCCTTCACTTTCCCCCCACACTGGAAGCCCATTCTCACTCGACTCCTTCCTGGCTGGACCCTGGGATGCGGCCGCCTGGCAGGGAGGCCTGGGGCCTTGCTGCCCCCCGCCCAGTCCTGCATGACCGGGACTGTCACACTCCTCCGTGTTCCACCTGGGACCGTGGGGATCCAAGCGAGCCCGCGGCAGAGGAAGGAAGCACCTGCAGTGGCATTACGGCCACAAGTGCGCTTTACACCACTCTGGACTTTAACAATTGCTGGGAACCGCAGCAGTGAAGGAAACAGCCGCCACCGCCCAGCGGCAGAGATGCAGAGCCCTGATCGCTGCTGCCCTCGCCGTGCATGAGCCGCGTCCTGGGCCGTGAGAGCAGCGGCTCGGGCGGGCTCCACGCGCGGCACAGGCGACAGCTCTCCCAGGCTGGGAGGACTGTCCCGCCCCGCCCTCCGCCCTCGGTGCCTGGCCAGTCGCTGAGCAGAGCTGGCGCTGTCTGACCCGCGGCCGCTCACCTGGTAGTGCACCAGGGTGTTGAGCCGCTTCCAGTCCCCCTCGATCTTGGTGGTGATGTCCTCGTCCTGCAGCACGACCCGGGCGATGCGGCCCTGGCGCCACTCTGGGTGGGGGTGCAGTGTGAGGCGTCTGGGGTCTCGGGGCAGCCCCTCCCGGCCCCCCGCAGCCCTCCCCTACCGAGATCCATGTCGGCGGCCCGCGGCCGCTGGGAGTAGGGCACGTTCTTGTACACAGCGTCCAGGATCTTCTCCTTGACCTGCGTGATGGTGTCGCAGTTGAGGACCTTCACGGGGATCTCCGGGCTGTTCTCGTTGTCGGGGTTCACGCAGTTCAGGATCTGGGGGGATGGACAGGGCTGAGACCCCAGCGGCCCCGCCCCGGTCCTCGGAGCCAGGGGTGAGTGAGCTGAGGGTAGGCGGGTCCAAGAGCGGGCTGCGGGGGGGGGGGGGGGGGGGGGGGGAATGAGGGCGGGGGGCGGAGCCCGCCTGCGCGCACCAGCGTCTTGTAGTCGATCTGCTGCCGGATGAGCTTGTCCTCGCTCAGCGAGTAGCGGGCCTCGCCCGTCACCGCGTCGATGGGCCCCTTCTCCATCTGCTGCTTGATGGCGCAGTAGAGCATGAAGAGCGGCTCCCCCGCACACTCCTGCAGGGCAGACGGGCAGAGGCGCTCAGGGGGCTGCCGGGTTCCCCGCACCCCTCTCCCATCCTCGACCCTCCCTGCTGACCTTCAGGAACTTGTGCAGCAGGAAAGCGAACCAGTTGGTGAGCATCTTCTCGGCCACAGACTCCGTCCTGCGGGGGGAGGGGTGCCAGGGGCCACCGCTCAGGTGGGGGATCGGGGACCCCACGTGACCAGGCAGGGCTCTGTCTCTGGGCTTCCTTCCTCGGGCGTGGGGGTGGGGGAGTGTTCCCTGCCCCCACTTCCACTGAGCTGGCCACCCTGCTCTGGGCATGTGGGCGGGAGCAGGGCTGGGGTCAGGCCGGGTCCGAGACCCTCAGTGGGGGTCCCGGGGGACGGGTGTGACAGGCTGGGCTGTGTCTCGGGGGCGCCCAGACCCCGGGGGTCCCACGCCACGCTGTTCTGCAGACCCAGCCCAGGGCAGGGAGCTCCCAGAGGCCCCGTCTCCGTGGAGGGGCTCCGGGGGCCCGCCCGCAGGACCCCGCCTCTCGGGGCGCCCCGCCGCCCACGCCCGCCGGCCGGCCGGTCCCCGCGGCGGCCAGACCTCCGCAGCAGCAGCTTGGGGTGGTTGCGGTTCTCCAGGTTCCGGTCGATGAGGTCACAGAGCAGCTGCTTGAGCACGTCGGTGGCGTACTCGAGGCGGGCCTGCAGCGCCGTCATGATGAGGGAGGCCACCGTGCCGCGGTCGCGCATGGAGAAGCCGCGCTGCGCCTCCAGCGTGCGGATGAAGGTCAGCAGGAAGACCTTGTTGTGCAGCAGCTGCGCGAAGAGCTTCAGCGCCCGTTCCACCTGCTGCTGCCCGTGGCCCTGCACCTGCGCCCAGCGCGCCGGCGGTCTCACTCACGAGGCACCTGGTCCCGGCCGCCACCCCCCTCGGGGCGCAGAGGGCCCGGCCCGCCCTGGCCAAGCCCGGGGTCGCGGCCCACACCCGCCTGCGCCCGCCCTCCCCGAGCCCCGGGCGGGCTCTCGCTCGCACGCAGGAGCCAGTGCCTGACATGCGGCGGGCGGGCCCCGGCGCCCTGAGCCTTTCTTAGGAAGCCCGAGGCACCCGCGGGCCCCCCCGGCGCAGCCCACCTCCAGCTCCCGCAGGACCGGGTGATCCTCGATGCCTGGGAAGAGCACGCGCATGGCGTAGGTGCGGTAGTCCAGGTAGGGGATGCCCGCACGGTCCAGGTCGCTGGTCAGCTCGTTGATGTCCGTCTGCAGCTCTGCAAAGGCTGGGGCGCGGGGAGACGGGTCGGGTGGGCAGGCCCTGCAGGGGCGAGGCTCCGAGTGGGAGGTGGGGCGGGCGAGGAGTGGGTCCCAGCCTTGGATCGACAGGCCTATGCACGCCTCCACACACAACGCCCAGCAAGCACCCACACCATAATCTGCACATGCAGGCATACCAGAGTACACACAGAACACACATGCATACACACCACCACGCATACACACACCAGTGCACATGCAGGACACATACGCACAGGCACCAGGGCACACACAGTACACTCGCACACACCAGGGCACACAGTGCATATGTCTAGCCATGCGACCAAGGGCCTACACATGCATTCACCCACATGCACGCACCCACAGATACAAAGGCATGGGCGTGTGTACCTACACGAGCACGCACACAAACCATGTACACACACGCACAGCATATACACGCACAGGTATACCACACGCAAACACCCATGTGCGCACATGCACGGCACAATGCACCCATGCACACACCCACGTAACCCATGTAAACACATGCACACATGTGTGCAACAATGCGCACACCCACGTGTGCATTCACCATGTGGATCCATGTGCACCTGACAAGCACACAAAGCACACACCAGCGTACACATGCGCACAGCAAGTAAACCGCATGCATCCACGTGTACACACATACCCACATATGCAGTGCCCCCTCAGCATTCATGCACACACGCGCACACGTGTAGACAAACGTGCACCCATATTTACCTAGAGGCACACACCCACGCACACCCATGTGCACCCCCGTGCACACACAGCACACACTGCGCGTTCACCAAGAGACAAGCCAAGTCACTGGCCCCTGCGGCAGCACCTTCCTGCAGCCTGACCGCCACAGGCGGACGGGGCAGGCTCTGAGGAGCGCTGGGGCAGTGACGGGGGGCAGGGCAGCTGAGCAGGGGTGCCGTTCTCTCCCGGCGGCAAGGAAAGAGAGTGTGTGTGTGAGTGTGGGGCGATGGGGTATGAGTGGGGTGTGTGGGGGCGGGGTGAGCAGGGTAGGTGTGTGTTTGGGTCGGGTGTGGAGGGGTGAGCGTGGTGTGAGGGTGTGGTGTGTGAGGGTGTGTGAGCCGTGCAGCATGTGGTGTGTGAGGCGTGTGGTATGTGATGAGTGCGAGGTTGTGGTATGCATATTCAGTGTGTGTGAGGTGTGTGTACGTGGCATGTGTGTGAGAGGTGTGTGATGTGTGTGAGAGAGTTGTGTGTGTGAGAGGTGTACGTGTACGTGGCATGTATGTGAGAGGCGTGTCATGTGTATGGGAGCTGTGTGATGTGTGTGAGGTGTGGTGGCATGTGTGTGAGAGAGCTGTGTGTGTGAGAGGTGGCGTGTATGTGATGTGTGAGAGGTGGTTGTGAAGTGTATGCGGTATGTGTGAGAGGTCTGTCATGTGTATGAGAGAGCTGTGTGACGTGCATGTGGCATGTGTGAGAGGTGTGAGAGCTGTGTGAGAGTTGTGTGTGTGAAGTGCATGTGGTGTGTGTGGCATGTGTGTGACGTGTATGAGAAAGCTGTGTGTGTTGAAGTGTACGTGTGTGGCGTGTGTGGCACTTGTGTGAGAGGTGTGTGTGTGTGTGTGCGTGGCAGGCGTGTGGGCAGCAGTGCGGTGTGTGCGAGGCTGCGGCGTGCGGGCGGGCGGTGCCGGGCGCGGGCGGGCGGCGCTCACCCTCCTTGCACTCCAGTGCCACGCGGGACTCCAGGCTGTCCATCTGCATCTGCAGCCGCTTGAGCGTGAGGTCGTTCTCGCGGGACTTGCGCTTGTAGGCCACCAGGACCAGGACGACCAGGACCAGCAGCAGGGTGCCGCCCGCGGCGATGCTGACGATGGCGGGCAGGGTGAGCAGGCCGTCGGCCGCCACGCTCACCGAGCCGGGAGAGAACACCATGCCGCCCACCAGCACCTGCAGCACGAGGCCGTGAGCCGGCACCCGGGGCGCCCCACCGGCCCCGGCCGCACCCCTGCCCATGGCCGCAGCCGCCCCGGCACCGCCCCCGCGCGTGTCTGGCCACCCGGGGGCCGGCGGGGTGGAGGGTCGCGGGGCCACACGGGGGGGTGGCGGGCGCCGGAGACTCACCAGGACCTTGTGCTGCCCCGTGAGGTTCGGGGGCTCACACAGCAGCTGCGTCTCGGACACAGTGACGGCGCACGGCGTGTCCCCCACCAGCACCGTGTAGTTGAGCTTGGTGCCCCCTGAGGTGGGTGGGCAGAGGTTCTTGCCCTGCGACGGAGAGCTGCTCAGAGGGGGCCCTCCACCCCAGCACGGGAGACCCCAGGCCCGGCTCCCCTACCCAGAATACGCTGGGGGCGGCCTGGACTTAGCAGAAATGGTGCACAGGTGGAGACAGGGGCTCGGGACACTGGGACAGAGACAGGGCTGGGGGCCCACGGGGACTTGGTCTTCCTATGGGCCCCTGGGGACAGGGTCTTCCTATGGCCCCGGAATATTCCTACTGGGTGCGACTCAGGGTCAGAGTTCCACAGGTGGTCGTGGCACTGTGCACCTCACACAGAACCCCACAGACCCCTACAGAGACCTCTTACAAGACTCTACAGAGACCCCCCCTAGGGAACCCTCAAATAACCCTATAGAAAATCCCACAAACCTCGACACCCTCAGAGAACCCCACAGAGACTCCCTACAGAGACCCCTCCAGACAAGCTCGCAGGGAACCTCAGAAAGACCCCCACATAAGCAGACGCCCGCAGAGACCCCGCTGGAAGGCACCTTCAGAATGATGGGGGAGCCGGGCTTCTGGTCCAGGACCCCCGTGGGACTGAGCAGCTCGAAGGTGGGGTTGGGGTAGTAGATGAACTTGGTGTCGTTGTACAAGAGCAGGGACCGAACGTTGTTGAAGATGAAACCGAATTCCTCGGGTCGCCCCACCGCGTCCAGGCTGGGCCGGTGATCGGTGGCGAGGGGCGGGGCCAGGCAGGTGAGCGTGGTGGCATTCACGGTCCGACACACCTGCGCCCGAGCACAGCCCTCAGAAGGCCAGCTGTGCCCCAGGGAGCTGGGGACACGGGGCTGTCGTGGGGTTGTCAGGAGCAAGGCCTGGCCACAGCAGTCCCACGGTGTCCTTCGCCCATGGGGGCCCGGACCACTGGCCTCCCACTTGTCTCCCTCAGGGAGGGCCCGAGAAGAGGGGGGTGGAGAGGGGGTGTGTGTGGCCTTCGTCCACCATCCACCAGCACTGGGCGTGCCCGGCGGCAACTCAGCACTGAGGTGGCAGGAGCCTGCGCCGGCCTGGGGGCACGACGGGGACCCCAGGAGGAGTGTGGACGCAGGACCCGTGTGAGTGCGCAGGACACAGGAGGGCGACTGGCGTGTGTGAATGTGAGCAGGATGGAGGCAGGTGTGTGGGGGTGTGCAAGTAGATATGTGCAGGGGTGCCCACGTGTGTGTGCGGGGGTCACGTGACTGTATTGCAATGATGCACATGTGTGTGCAAGGGCGTCACGAGACTTACGCAGGGTGCACGTGTGTGTGTGGGAGTCATACGACTACATGCAGGGGCACGCGTGTGTATGCATGGGAGTCACTTGATCACACATACAGAACTGTGTGCATAGTGCCCCTGTGTGGGCATGGGGGTCACAGGTCTGTATTGCAATGATGGACATGTGTGGGCAGAGGGGTCACGAGACTGTGTGCCGGGTGCCCATGCGTGGGCATGGGGGTCACAGGACCGTATGCAGGGGTGCCCATGTACTCCTGTAAATGAGTCTCACGTACGTGGACGGGGCACGTGTGCTGGCGTGGGAGTGTAAAGGAAGCCACCCGGGCACATGGCGGGCGCCAACATGACCCTGCCCTCTCCGCCGCCAGCCCCGCAGACGGGCGTGGTCTGTGAGGTTGCCCCTCACTCACGTTCACAGACTCTTTGCCGTTGAACTTGATTCGGACTCTGGGCTCCTGAATGACGTCCAGGTTGAAGCCGGTGATGGTCAGGGGCGTGTGGCCGCTGTGGACAGGCAGCGCTGGGTCAGGGTGCAGCTCAGCGTGGCCCTGCCCTGCCCTGCCACGCCGCCCCCCCTCACCTGGCGATGCTCCAGGCGGGCTCCACGCGCTGCACGCGGGGGTCGTCGATGTACTCGAACTGCAGGTCGCCGTCCACGTGAGCCCGGTCCACGCTCACCCACACGGGGACTGGGCCCAGGCCAGTGGCCGAGGGTGGGGACACACACACGATCTCGCTCATGGACCGCCTGGCAGGACGGGAGGGGTGTGAAGGGCCGGGCAGGGCGGGGCCCCCGGGGGCAGCTGTGTCCGTCCCTGTCCCCTCTCCCTGAGCTCCCGGGTGGGGGGGATCCTGTGTCCTGTGACCCGGCCGGTGGCACCGTTTGGGGGGCACCTCCATGCCCCAGTAAGGAGAACGGAACTGAGGGGGTGTGGGCAGGCGACACCTCTGGAACATTCTAGAACGTGGCATTTGGTGTCTGCTGTCAGGTGAATCCCTAAGGCCTGCACTGTTGGTGGACGCTCGTCACAGAGCAAGGGCACGGACAGCTCTGACAGGCCCCCCGCAGTGGCCATGCCACGCTGCCCACCCACAGGGGCTTCTGGCAGACACCGCCTTGGGGGCCCGACGACGGGTCCCCTCCCTCGACTCCGCACTCAGCCACGTGTACACACCCCGCAGGGCACCACAGCACCCGCGTGCACGCTCACAGGGCAGACACACACACCCAGAGGCCACGTGCAACCCCTCCTGGGATGTGGCCGACCCCGTAACCTGCACCCCGGGGCCCACCTCACCCATAGAACTCGCAGGTCTGGTTGCCCAGGTGCACAGTCACACGGCTCCCAGCGCCCAGGTGCTGTCCGGCGAGAGTGACCATGGTGCCCCCCGATTCGGGGCCTCGGATGGGGCTGAGCGAATGCACGGATGGGTGCTAGGGGGAAGCAGAGGGGTCCGGCCGCCATGAGCCCTCGAGAGGCCCCGGGAAGCCGGCTGGGCTGGGTGGGTAGGCGCTGCAGGCTGGCGCTGCACCCCACGGGGCACCGGAGGGGCCTGGCCCGAGCCAGAGCTGCCGTGGAGAGCAGGACTCGTGCCCAACGCGAGTGCCAGCCCTGCGTGCCTGTGTCCCTCGGACAGGTGCCCAGCTGTGCCCCAAGGCCCTTGGGAGGGTGCCAGGGGGCAGAGAGGACATCTCCAGCTGGGGCTTCCGCTGCAGGGAGCCCTCCCGGGCCCTGGCACAGAGCCTGGTGGTCCCCGCGTTGTGCCAGAGAGGTGCCCGGGGAGGGGACTGTACCGCGGAGGCCGGGCCCCTGCAGGGAGGGGGGTGGTGGGCCCCTTCACCCCAGAGAACTGTCTACCTGAAGCACCGGGAGCACAGGCTGCGGAGGCAGCAGGGGTCTGTTTCTGGGGGGAAGGGACACCACGGAGAAGCTCTTGGTGCCACCGAGCCCGCCCACCCTTGCCAGGGCCCCCAGAGATGCAGGCTGGCAGGGCGCCTGTTCCAGGGACACTGTTCTGGGCACGGGTGGGGAGGCCACTTGGGCTGGTCCTGCCTCGCCCCGCGGGCCCCTCGAGGACTCACCACGAAGGTGAACTCCTGCTGGCTCTGGGCCACGAACTCCGGCCTGCACTCGCCCACACACAGACGGGCCGGCCCGGCCACGGCGGCCCTGGGTGCGGGTCCCATCTCACACACGATCCTGCAGGGACAGGATGGGGCCATTTGAGCGGAGGCCCTGCTGCCCCCATCCCCAGGGCCAGGGAACCGGCGGGCGCTGGAGGGGCCGGGCTCAGCTCACTGCAGCCAGCAGGGGAACCGGCGGCTTGGGGAGGGGCGTGTCAGGCCCTGGCACAGGACCGGGGCGCAGACAGCCAGGTGGCCTCCGCACTGAGGGCCAGGCTGCTCCCTGCAGGCCTGAGGGGCAGGGGCAGGAGGCAGCAGAGGGCAGCGGCATGGGTCTCCCACGTCGGGGCTTGGCCGAGTCAGCGCGGGGCCAGGAGGGCTGCGTGGAGACAAGCGCCCTGTGCCCACAGCCCAGTGAGGGTGCTGGTGAGGGCGCTGATATGAGTGTCAGTGAGGGCGCTGCTGTGGGTGCTGCTGTGGGTGTTTAGTGCGGGTGTGAGTGAGTGCAAGTGCGGGTGACGGGGTTGGGTGCGTTCCAGTGTGGCTCCAGGGGCAGCTGGAGGGGAGGTAGAGCGGGCCAGGTTGCTCAGCCCTGCGGCGGGCAGGACCGTGGCCCCCAGAGGGCCGCTCCTTGGAGGGGTCGGGACTCACTGCTCAGCGACCACGTAGTCGGCCGGCAGCGGCGTGCACGGCACCCCGGCCACCTGCACGTGCTGGGCGATGTCCGAGAAGTCCAGGCCCAGGTTGACGCCGCGGATGGTCACCCGCGTTCCTCCTTCAGGGGGGCCCGACACTGTCAGCATCTGCGGGGACAGGAGCTCAGGGTCCCAGCCAGGCTCCTCCCTCCCGGCCTCCCCCTGCTCGGGTGTCAGCACAGCCCACAGCTGGGGCAGCCACACCCCCCCACTCCTGTTCCAGCTCCCAGCACCCCGGCCTTGGAATGGGGGTACTGCTCTGATTGCCCCCAGGCAGGATCCCCAAGAACTGTCAGGGCTGGGGAAGGGTCTCAGCAAGGAGGGGCCGAGCAGGGGGTAGAGGTGGGGGGAGCAGGCAGGAGCCGGGAGTGTGAGGGCAGGTGTTGGGAAGGGGCGGTTGGAGACCAGAACCAGGGTGGGGACGATGCCGAATAGGGACCTCCTTCCTGGGGCGCACTCAGGGACCAGCCTCGCGCAGTGCTCCTGAGATGCTCCTGAGACCCTCCCTCTCCTTCCAGGCTGCGTCTTGGGGCTCACACGGCCCAGTACCTGAGCTGGGCTGGCCTCCCCCGGGCAAGAGCTGCCCTTGCTGCCCTTGCCGGCTGGGCGCTGGGCACGCGGCAGCCACAGGCCTGGGTTTGAGATGGCACAGAGCCCGTGTTGAACAGAACCCCCAAAAGAACAGCCAGGCGCGGGCACAGTGGCCCCCAGCCCCCATCTCGTTCTTAAAATCCTTTCACTAGTTCACGCCGATCATAGCACAGCAGAGGACGGAGCATGGGCCTTGCTGGAGTCTGAAAACCCCGTCTTGTCTCACAGTCAGCCACGGGGTCTGGGACGCACATCCGCTGGGGCGGCCCCTCAGACATGCAGGAGGGGTGTGGGGCTGCCATCTGCCGCCTGAGGACACGGGAGTTGGGGTGTGGGACCCACAGTTCCTTCAAATAAGCTAACGAGAACCAGAGCCAGGAAACTGGAATCCTGAGGCTCCCAGGAAAGAGACCCTGTCAGGATGGCCTCGAGCCCCTCATGACCCCATCAGGATGGCCCTGAGACCCCCATGACCTGCATCAGGAAAACCAGAGCCCCCCATGACCCCATCAGGACAGCCCGAGCCCCCCACGACCCCATCAGAATGGCCCTGAGTCCCCAGGACCGCATCAGATGGCCCTGAGACCCCCATGACCCCCATCAGGACAGCCCAAAACCCCCATGACCCCATCAGGACAGCCCGAGCCCCCCATGACCCCATCAGGATGGCCCTGAGACCCCCATGACCCCATCAGGACAGCCCGAGCCCCCCATGACCCCATCAGGATGGCCCTGAGACCCCCATGACCCCATCAGGATGGCCCCGAGACCCCCATGACCCCCATCAGGACAGCCCCAAACCCCCATGATCCCATCAGGACAGCCCGAGCCCCCCATGACCCATCAGGATGGCCTTTGAACTCCCCCATGACCCCATCAGGATGGCCCTGAGTCCCTGGGGCCCTGCCTCATGGTGTCACTGTTATACCTTCTCCCAACAGGCTGTGGCCTCAAGCAGGGGTCACACGGTCACCCCAGTCTCTGCTCCCGCTGGGGGAGGAGGCGTCAGGGAGCAGCCTCTGGGTGGCCACTGTAGCTGAGGCCAACGTGGGCACTGCTAGGAAGGGGCCTGTCAGCACCACTCGAGACCCAGTCTGGACCTCACGCATCCCCACCCATGGCCTCGGCCTCGTGTCAGAGAGACTGGCCTGGGACTGTCCCTGTCCAAGGGGCCTTGCGGGATGCACCGAGTGTGTGGGCTGCTCAGACCCCTGACAGTGGCTCTGGGGACGCTCAGCTGGGAGTCAGTGGGTAGGTCTGCCTTTGGGGTCAGACCCTGTTCTGACCAGCCCAGCCTCAGATCAGGGCAGGCAGGGGACACTGCCCCATGTGGACCTACACAGAGTGACCTGTCCCCAGTGCCGTCCTTCCAACTGGGGACAGCTGGTCCTGCCCATGCTTTTCTCAGACAGTCACCTGGTCCCCTGCAACTGCCCTGACCCCAGACAGGGACCTGGGCCAGTAGAGACAGACGGAACCAGGAGGGGCCCAGAGATCCATGCGAAGTCAGCCCCAGGACACCTGCTCTCACGGGCCCCAGGAGACAGGACAGTCTCAGCCAGGGTCGGGCCAGGAGCACAGAGGAAGTGAGAATCACGGCAGGGGAGAGAGGGGAGGTGGGGGATCGTGGCAGGGGAGAGGCGGGAGGACTGTGTGCTGCAGTCACACCGCAGAAGGCGGTGACTTGCTGTGGGACTCTGGTGAAGGTGCTGGTGGCTCCCGGCACCCTTTTTAAGTCTGAAATTGTTCCCACAATAAAAGCTTTAAAACAGAAAGAGACTTAGAGGGAGGGGGAGGGAGGGAAGGGCTTGGGGTCTCCTCACTCCGGCCCCTCTGCGCAAGCATCACCTGCCCCCCATGGCTGCCCCAGCCCCAGGCCCCTCTGCGAGACCAGGCCCGCCCACCGACTGCCCCGGCCCACTCACCTCGGTGATCTGCGGGTTGGAGCACTTGACACGGAGGCTGGCCCAGTGGAGCCAGGGCCCGGCGGGACCGGTGCAGTGCTGGGGGAGGGTGCACCTGCGCTCCCCCCGGCACCAGCCGCACCCGAACTTGTGCTCAGCCTTGAGGCAGAGCCCGCAGCTGTCCCTCTGGGCCGCGCACTTGTACAGGTGCACTGCAAGAGAGGCCGCGGCGGTGGGCCAGTGCCCCCGGGGGGAGGGACCCCCACGCACACCCCCCGGACCCAGCACCGAGCGCCCCGTGAGGCATCAGAGCTGCCCCAGGTTGCGGGGCGCCGGTGGTGGCCAGCACCCCCCTCCCCCCAGGGCAGCGTCCCGGGCAGGGCCGGCCGTACCCTTCAGGCCCTGCGGGTTGTCAATGACGAAGTTCCCGTTCCACACCACGCTGAGGTCTGCGGCCAGGCTGCTCAGCTCCATGCCCTCGTACCGGTACTGGGGGGGGGGGTCGCTGCTGAGCCCCCGGGGCAGGACCCCAGGCGCCCTGCCCCAGGCCTGGGTACCAATGCCAGCGGGCTCCGCCCCTGCCATCCTCTGCTCTGTGTCTGTCCCGCCCCCGCCTGGCCCTGGTCGTCTCCCTCCACGGAGCCTGCCCCTCCCTCAGCTCCCCCTGACCTGGCCCTGGTGGTCCTGCTCATGGCCACCCTGAGCGGAGCCCCGAGACCCCATGGGGTGTCCCCTGGCAAAAGGCCCTGGCTCCCGATCCGTCCTCCGTCACCAGCCGGGCAGAGAGGGTGCAGAGAGGCAGCACCCGGCGGGTCCCACTCAAGCCCCAGGCTCCTGGCTGCAGGTGCTTGAATCCTGGTCGCCCCTCCCTGACCTCCGCTCTGCCCCCCTCCCCTTGTGCTGCTCCCTCAGGCCTCTCCCTGGCACTGCACGCCCCTCCCCCTGCCTGGGCGCCGCTCTTTTCCCTGCCCCTTCCCTGCACCCCTCCTCCTCCTCCTCCTCCTCCTCCTCCTCCTCCTCCTCCTCCTCCTCCTCCTCCTCCTCCTCGCACCCCTGTGGGTCCCCTGTGCTCCCGAAGAGAGCTGCCGGGACTGCGGAAGGGGCCGGCCCGCTCACCGAGCTGTTCTGGCACTGCACGCTGGAGCTGTTGAAACGCAGCGCGGGCACGCGGTGGGCCGTGCCCTGGATGCGGAGCTCGCACTCGTAGCCGCGCTGCCCGGACTGGGGCTGCGGGAGGTTCCGGGCCCGGAGCGTGATGGGCTCCACCTCGCCCACGGGGATCAGGATCTCGGTCGTGGGCACCAGCTGGGGACAGTCCTGGGTGCAGCACAGGACACAGGGCGGACCCCGCCCTCAGGGCCCTGCCGCCCCTCCTGCGCCCGCTCGCCCGGCCCACCCCCAGCTGGCACCTCAGTTCTGTTGTGCACGAGGCTCTGAGTGCGGCTCTCCTCACCCCTGCGGAAGTGGAGGCCGCCCCCACATCCGCCTCAGAGACCCGCTGAGCTGCCCCCTGCCCCCGGAGTCCGCCACAGAAAACTGCCGGGCTGCCCCGCGCCCTGCGCCCACCTCTGCAGCGCGGATCCGGCCCTCCTGGAAGGAGCAGCGGGAGGGGTCGTGCGTGCACAGGTGGCGGTACTTGCACCAGTGGCAGCGGAAGGCGCTGGTGACACACGACAGGCACCTAGGGGACAAGAAGGGGCAGTGTGGAGCAGTGGGCGGAGTCACCGCTTGCATCACACTCCCAGTGCTCCAGGGCCCGGAAGCCAGGGAGCAGAGAGGGGGACCCCAAAACCAGGGAGCGGAGAGGGGGACCCCGAAACCAGGGAGCGGAGAGGGGGACCCCGAAACCAGGGAGCAGGGAGGGGGGCCCCGAAACCAGGGGGCAGGGAGGGGGGCCCTAAAACCAGAAAGCAGAGAGGGGGACCACAAAACGGGGGAGTGGAGAGGTAGGCCCCGAAACCAGGGAGCAGGGCCCCGAAACCAGAAAGCAGAGAGGGGGGCCCCGAAACCAGGGAGCGGAGAGGGGACCCCAAAACCAGAAAGCAGAGAGGGGGGGCCCGAAACCAGAAAGCAGAGAGGGGGCCCCAAAACCAGAAAGCAGAGAGGGGGGCCCTGAAACTGGGGAGCAGGGAGGGGGGCCCCGAAACCAGAAAGCAGAGGGGGGCCCCGAATCCAGAAAGCAGAGGGAGGACCCCGAAACCGGGGAGTGGAGAGGTGGGCCCCGAAACCAGAAAGCAGAGAGGGGGGCCCCGAAACAAGGGAGCGGAGAGGGGGCCCCTGAAACCAGAAAGCAGAGAGGGGGACCCTGAAACCGGGGAGCAGAGAGGGGCAGGCACCAACTGTCCCATGGGAGAGGGTTCCTGCTGCCGGCTTGGCTGGTTGCAGGTGAGGCCACGTGGGCCGGGGGGACAAGCCTCTCCCATGGGGTAGTGGATCTCAGCCCCGGTCTCCTGGTCCAGTGCCCGATGTCCTGCACTCTCTGGGCGTGGGAACACAGGCGCCCTGGCTGGGGACACAGGTGGGAGCCGGCAGGAGCCTGGACCCTCCTCTGCCGAGTCGCCCTGGCTGGGCCCAGCTGCCGATGGGGTCAAACGCCCCCGAGCAGACCCCCACCACCCTCTCCGCGGAGATGCCCGTGGCCACACCACTCTGACAGAGCCCCATGGGGGGTTGGCCGCTTCCCCGCGGGCCCGGCAACCTGCTACCGGCCATTCCCAAATGAGATTCAGGGTCTCACCCAAGCGCTGGGTAAGGGTGGGGGCAGGGAGCTTAGCACTCAGGCGACCTGCCTGGCAAAAGGGGCCCTCTGGGGGGCAGCAGGCACCCTGGGTGAGGGGCTGAGGCAGGTGCCTGCGCCAGGGCTGGGAGCCCCCCGCCCCACGCCAGGCCTGGGAAGCCTCACAGTTGGTGGGCGCTGCAGTTGTAGAACTTGAACTCAGTGCTGACAAAGATCCTGCCGGTCTCCTTGGACTTCAGCTGCAGCTCCACTCCAAACCAATCTGGGAGGGAGAAGGCGGGCACCGTTGCTCCCGGGGCCTGGGCAGAGCCCCTGGACAGGACTCCGCTGCGCCATCTCGTTCCAGGGCTTCCCGGAAGAAAAGAGCCTCTCTCCCGTCCCCTGGGGAGCAGAGTCCCCTCCGGGTGGTCCGGGACATGACTCTGGTCACCCCGACAGGAGGGGCGTGAGCCGGGTCCCAATACCAGCTGCGCCCCCCCCCCCACCAGTGCCTACCTTGATCCACAGGGACGACGGGCACGTCCCGGGGCCCGGGGGAGAGGCACAGCACCCGGCTCCCGTCCACCTGCCCCTCCACCTCCGTCAGATTCCCGAAGGCACAGGTGACCCCCGCGGAGAGGCTGGGGGCGTCGCTGACCACCAGCGTGAGCTGTGGGGAGAGAGAGGGGCGGGTGGCAGGAACGGTGGTGAATAAGCCGGGGCTGGTGCTGGGGGCAGGGTGGGCCCCCCGCCATGGGCCCATCTCCTCGGTCCTCAGCTGCCCTGGTGTCTGGCCTGCCCTGTCCCGGGAAGGTGAGCACCCCAGGGCCGGAGGAGGGGCCCCGAGAGCACGGGGCCGGCAGGGCCTGCAGGAGGTCAGGGGCTGCGTGACCAGCCCTAACCACGGGCTGCGCTGGCCCTCCTGTCCACCCGTCTGTCCGTCCGTCAGTTCGACTGTGTGGCCTGTGCTGTCCACCCCCCACCCACTGTTTGTCCTCCGAAGGGTCTCTCTGCCCGTGACGCTTGTGGACCCCAGCGGAAGCCAACACAGACCATGCCCAGGGCCGTGTCCCTCCAGGGCAGCAGAGCCCGCACTGCTGGCCAGGGCTGGGCGACGGCCAGGGCTGCTCGAGGGGCAGTGGGGGCCGAGTCTGATCCTCCCCAGCCCCCAGGGTGTGTCTCCCACCTACCTGCCGGCGCTGCTCGGACACGGAGATGCTGCCGGGCTCCACCTGGAGTCGCACGCACTGGCTGAGGCTGGCTGCGAAGCGGTTGGGCTCCCAGGCACGCGGGCAGCGGTCCCTGCGGGAGCACCTGCGGAGTGGACACAGACAGGGCGCCGCTGGGAGGACTCCCCGGATGGGCAGGCCAGGGATGGGCCAGGGACAGGCCAGGGACGGCCCAGGGACGGGCTAGGGATGGGCCAGGGACGCCCAGGGACACACAGGGACAGGCCAGGGACACCCAGGGACAGGCCAGGGACGGCCCAGGGACAGGCCAGGGACAGGCCAGGGACAGGCCAGGGACGGCCCAGGGACAGACCAGGGACAGGCCAGGGACAGCCCAGGGATAGGCCAGGGGCGCCCAGGGACAGGCCAGGGATGCCCAGGGACAGACCAGGGACGGCCCAGGGACAGGCCAGGGACAGGCCAGGGACGACCCAGGGACAGACCAGGGACAGGCCAGGGACAGGCCAGGGACAGGCCAGGGGCGCCCAGGGACAGGCCAGGGACAGGCCAGGGACGCCCAGGGACAGACCAGGGACAGCCCAGGGACAGGCCAGGGACGGCCCAGGGACAGGCCAGGGACAGGCCAGGGACGGCCCAGGGACAGACCAGGGACAGACCAGGGACAGGCCAGGGACAGACCAGGGACAGCCCAGGGACAGGCCAGGGACAGGCCAGGGACGGCCCAGGGACAGACCAGGGACAGGCCAGGGACGCCCAGGGACAGACCAGGGATGGCCCAGGGACAGGCCAGGGACAGGCCAGGGACAGGCCAGGGACGGCCCAGGGACAGACCAGGGACAGCCCAGGGACAGGCCAGGGATGGCCCAGGGACAGACCAGGGACAGGCCAGGGACAGGCCAGGGACAGGCCATGGACAGGCCAGGGACGCCCAGGGACAGACCAGGGATGGCCCAGGGACAGGCCAGGGACAGGCCAGGGACAGGCCAGGGACGGCCCAGGGACAGGCCAGGGACAGGCCAGGGACAGGCCATGGACAGGCCAGGGACGCCCAGGGACAGACCAGGGACAGGCCAGGGACAGGCCAGGGACAGGCCAGGGACGGCCCAGCAGGAGGCTCAGGAGCTGCGTGGCGCTCCGGCCTGCACTGCACCTCCCTGTACTGCATCCAAGGCGATGGTCACCATCCTGGGGAGAGGAGCGAGGGGCCCGCACTCCCACGGTGGGCTGCGCAGGTCACGTGACAGTCTGTGACCAAGTGAACCCAAGATGGGGAGATACTGGAGAGATGTGGGGACAGATGTGGCACAGGAAGTCCTGGCCTGGACACCTCCTGGTGCTGAGACGGCGCGTGTGTATGCGTGTGTGCATGCGTGTGTCAGCATGTGCGTGCGTGTACACGTGTTTGCGTGCGTGTGCACATATGTGTGTGTCGTGTGTACGTGCGTGCGTGTGTGTGTCTGCGTGTGTGTGCACATGCGTGCGTGTGTGGAGGGGTATGGAGGGTGCGAGGGGGTGTGGGGGTGGGGGAATGTGGTCCGGTTGTGGGGGGGCCTATGCACCTGAGGGTGACTCTGAACTAGGGCTAGGAGGGAGGTGCCCGGACTGGGGTGCTATGCGTGTGGGGGCCCTTGGCAGAGGTGCGGGGTGGAGGCAGCTGGGCAGAGCCCCTCAAGCCCGGCCCCACCTCGGATCCCCATGCTTCTGCCGGGACCCTGCATCCAGCCACCGCCCTCACTGGGGCCCGCCGGGGCAGCGGGGTTTCACGTCAGTGCCAGAGCCAGGACCCGTGTGGGCCGAACTGGCAGCCTCAGCCCCCTTGGGACCCCGAGCGTGCTCGGTGGGTGGCGATTCTACGGCTGCCGGACCGGGTTGGGGTGTGAGGGTGTGAGGGTTGGGGTGTGAGCAGAGCTGTCCTTGAGACCCCGCTGAGCCCTGGGAGGGGTCCTGCCCCCCGCCCCCCTCTGCCGCGGTACTTACACGCTGTGCAGGGCACACCAGCCGCAGTGGGGGTCCCCCGCACTCAGACACTCCTCACACGTGGTGTACTGCTCACAGGCCTCCACGGGCACCCGCGTGACCTGCGGGCGAGAGCAGTCGGTGGGCAGCATGGCTACACTCCCAAGGTGGGTGCACCGGGACCCTCCGCCCTGGAGGGGCCCCTGCGCCAGGGTCTGTGTGGGCGGAAGGGAGGGTCCCAGGACCCCGCCATGCTGTGCCAGGAACAGAGATGTGTCTGCTCCTGGCCGCTGGGGCTGCCGGGGCGCGTCCTCCCCTGCTCCCAGCCCTCCCTCTCTGCCCTGTCCAGGCCCTCACGGCCGTCTGCCAGGCCCAGGCCCAGCCACACCCGGGCCCCTGCGAGGCCCAGCTCCCTCGCTCGGCCGGTGAGTGACGCCAGCATCTGGCTCGAGGGGACGACGACACGCTCGGCCGCCTGCAAAAACACAGCAGCTCCCAGCAGCTGGTCACGCTGAAAGGGGCTGTGTGCTGCCAACAAAGGCCACTTTCTCTGGGGGCTGGAGCGGACTGGGGGCTGCGGGGGGCCAAACCACGGCAAGCAGCCGGGGCCCCTCCCCCCCTTCCTGGGCTGTCCTGGTGGGAATTTCATTTTTAACCCGCTGAGTTGAGCAAAGTGAAAAGGGAAACTGAGGGGCGGGTCTAAGTCCCACATTCTACGGCCACACACACCCTGGACAGGCGCCCTGCAGCCCCGCTGGCCCTGGTCACCATCTGCGACTCCTCACGGGATGCCAGCCCTGAGGTGACCAGGAACAGGGGGCCCCGGGGCTGTGACACTGTGGCTTGGGAAGCCTCCACAGTGCAGCGCCTGGGCAGCCCTGGGCGGCCTTGGAGCCAGGAGCGCAACCTGACAGGACCCCCGTGTAGTCAAAAAGTCCAGGGCCCTCATGGGGGGCTGTGGGCACCAGGGCTCAAGAGGAGAATGCCGCACCTTCCAGCACAGACCTCAGGGCACCCTGGAGCTCTGGCTCCCAGATGGGGGGCCTCTGCCAGAGACATGGGCCGGTCAGGTCCACGTCCTGGCCGGGAGGCCTCAGGCAGGGGCCCCAGGAAGCTGCCCCCAGACCCAGTTTCTCTAGGAAGCCTGAGAAAGGACACCATGGGCCCTGGTGCCGCCTACTGCTTCCTGGGCGTGGGTGTCAAGAGTCGATGGGACACACAGCTGGTCAGCCTGACAGAGGACACCTGTGTGTCCGTGCGCCCTGCATCCATGTGTCCACATGGCTGTGTGTCATGCCTCCACGCATCCACGTGTCCGTGTGTCTGTGCATCTATGCAACTGTGCGTCTGAGGAAACAGGCGAACACTCTGGCTCTGGCGCCCCCTTCAGAGCCTGGGGACCCTCAAGGATCAGAGCCGGGCTTGGGATGTGCGTCACGGAGTCTAGCTGTGAGGAACTGGCCAGGTGCGGGACGGAGGCCTCAGCCGGAGGGGGTGGGTCACCTCCAGCCCAGGTGCGGGCAGGTGCCTCTCGCTGCGGGCAGCCTCGGGGACAGGCTCGCGGGTCCCTCCCCTGGACCGTCCGCCAGCCAGGCAGCAGCGTCAGCACTGACTCAGAGTTTAATGGGATGCCTGACGCTTTAATTCGTGTTTGTTTATTGTGATTGCATTTTAATCATGCCCCGGCCCCCCTGGGCGCTGGGACGGGTGGCTCCCTGGCAAGAGCTCGTGCTGGGAACAGCGGGCGTGCCCCGCCCCAAGGCAGCCCCACGCTGCCCCGCAGGGTGCCGGCCACATTCCTTCCTGCTTCGTCTTCCTTGTCTCCTAATTACGCCTCTAATGAGTATAACTGTCCTATTAAGTCATTTATTTAAGAAATACTCTTAATTAAAGGTGACTCACACGAAGCAGCTCTTAGATCTGGGGGTCTGGGGGCTTCCTCTGCCTGGTGCTGGAGCCACGTGGGTGGCCGCAGGGCGGGGTCAGCCTGGCGCTGAAGCCCCCCGCCTTAGCCCTGGCTGGGTGGGCGGGGAGTGGGGCAGGTCTGGACCTTCGTTTGTGCCAGCGACAGCAGGGACCCAGCGTCCGGGCCCGGGCAGGACCTGAGCTCAGAGCAGTCGTGGCCCCCCTTAGCCATGCCGGCACTAGGGCATCAGCTCTGCCCCTGCAGACGTGGTTCTCAAGGACCAGTCCCTGGAGCAGGAGTTGGGGACACGGAGGCCCGCGGGGGGCTCATGAGACAGTTAGTCCAGGCGCAGCCGGCAGGAACCTTCACCCTCGGGATCACACGGGGGACCGGAAGGGCGTCAGGAACCGGAAGCACACCTGACCCTTTGCTTCCCTGGCCCTGTGCCCTGGCTCCCCTCGTCCCTTGTCCCTCACCTGCACCCTGACCCCCACCTACACCCTGACCCTCACCTGTCCCCACACAGAGGGCAGGAGTGGCTCTGGGGGTGACCAGGTGGTCGGGAAATGCAGAGTCTGGGGCACAGAAGCCTTGTCAGGGCGTGGGGCAGGGCCCTACAGGAAGCCTGGCTGGGACTTCTCCTTTCTGGAAGCTTCTTGCAGTCCCCCGCCAACTCCCCGCTGTGTCTGAGGCCCTCTTCCTGCCCCAAGGCAGGGTGGGGTCTGGGAAGAGCGGACCCGAAGGCCACACCAGGGTCATGTTCCATCTGAGCCCCTGTGTCCACCCGACCCGGGCCCGAGGCTGTGCAGACCCACAGCTGCAGTAGAGGCAGGAGGACAGACCCTGAACTGCAGGGACGTGTCAGCACAGGAACCAAAGCTCAGAGCAGCTCCGGAGGTCAGGGAGCGCCTCCAGCAGGCAGCGACTGTCTGTTCGACTAGTCCAGCCAGAGCAGCAAACAGGAAACACCCCAGGAAGGCACTGCCTCGAGGTGGAAGTCTGCAGCTGGACCTGCCGCTGGCCAGCTGCCCACCCCCGCTTCTGAAAAGCGCGGGTCACTCCTTCCAGGCAGCCCTCCTTGACCAGCCTCCCAGCTCTGAGCATGGACTCTCCTACCTGCCCAGTCACGGGGCTGGGATGGGCTTCTTCTTGCCCAGATCGCCATGGCACTGCCCTCCCCGCCCCTCCGAGCACCCCCCTCCGCCCCCCGTCCCCGCTGACTCTGCTCTGCACAGAACAGGCTCACGCCTACCGCTGCTGCGGGCCTGCCAGACAGGCTTATTTTCGGCTCCTTAAGTAGCACCACGAGGAACCGTGGCAGTTTCTCAGGGTGCTGAGCTCCGCTGACGCCAGCCGGGATGAGAGCCGGGAGAGCAAAGCGACGTGGGGGCACGTGAACCTGCGGGCCTCACCCCTGCTCAGCACCGCTAGGCTCTCCCAGGCCTTCCCTGACATGGCCCACCCCACCACGGCCCACCCTGCCACGGCCCACCCCGCCATGGTTCCATGCTGTCCAGGTCCCACCAGCCATGCCCCACCCAGCCATGCCCCACCCCGCCATGGCCCACCCTGCCACGAAGCTGCCACTCTCCATTTCTCACACCAGCCGCACAGCTGGGGTCCTGGCTCTGGGGTGATGGGGTCACTTCTGGGACTAAGAGTGTGACTTTAGGGGAAGGAACTCTTATGTGTCCACTCTGGGAGGCCCTGGTCCTCCCAAGTCTTTCCAAGTGAGTGGGGGCCTCTTGTCTAGAGGGCTTCCTAGAAGAAGGCGCCCAGGAGGGGCCTATGTCCTCTGGGGATGCCGCAGGAGGACCCTGAGCCTGGACGCAAGAAGCAGCCCGAGGCAGTCCTCGTCCCTTCGTCACTAGGCCAGGGCCCTGGGAGAAAGCCCTGAGGCTCAGCCTGGGCATGTCTGTCTCCCCATCCTCACTACACCTTGGCCTTTGTTGTGGCAGACAGGGTGGGCTGGGGAGGGGACGGCCACAGGGGACAGGATGCCGTGGGTGGGGGCCAGGGCTGGCACAAGGCACCGGAAGCTCCTCCCGGACTGGAGTTCGGGGAGGGGCTGGAGCAGAGGACTGGGGTGAGGTTTGCCTCTGTGCGTGCCAGGCCCTGGAAAGGAAGGCTTCAAGTAATTTTGGGTTATTACTGATGCGATTAGGCTCGCAGTGAACACTTAGCACTGAGCCGTGCTTATTAAAATGACTGTTCTAATCAGGACACTGCTGAGGCAGCATTAGTGGCGCAGTGCGGGGGAGGGGCGGGCGGACACGACGGCGCTGTGCCCCCAGAGCCTGCTGGACGCGGGCTGGCCGGGCTGAGTCCCGCCCTGCTGTCCTCCCGTGCCCATGCTGGACACGTGGGTTAGGGCGCCTCCCCTGTGCCTGCAACCGTGCTCAGACCCGGGGCCTGTGCCGGGCTGGGCTGGACTCTGTCCTGTCTGGAAAGCTCCAGCACCTGCTCGGTCACTCGCAGGCCCAGTGACGGTCCAGCCCAGGACCTTAGGCACGTCCCTGAGGAAGCGAAGGAGGACTCGGTCAGTAACCCAGCCGAGTGCCCCAGGCAGCAGGCTGTCAGGACAGAGGCACTGGCCGTGAACTCCCCAGAGGGGGGCTGGGCAGAGGGGACACACGCCACCCTGCTCACACATGTGAGCACGCATGTCCATGCATGAGCACACATGAACATTTACGCAGCAGACACATGACCCGCCCTGGGGCTGGCCCACCTGCTCTGTGCCCCGCAGCTCTGGGTCCTCAGCCCCAGGCGGGCGTGGGACGCCAGGGCAGGGCGGGGGCAGCAGAGCCATGTGCTGGCCCATGAGCGCAGCGGGGCGTGTTCTATGGAGGGGGGGGGCGCCGGCAGCACATACTGGGGCGTCTCTCGGGCTTCCACACACCTTAGCTCCCATCTGCAGGGAGCCCACCACCCCCGTGGCTTGGCTGGGGTGGCGTCCTCCAAGAGGCACTCGGGGCGCAGAGTCGAGCCTCGGTCTGGGGCACAGGCCGCCCGGCTGCCTCCTCCACTCTCCACACACGGGGACCCTCGCCCGAGGCCGGGCAGCTGGCCACACAGTGCTGACACCTGGTGCCAATTTCAAACCCAGAGACAGGCAGTGGCAGGAGCCCCTGCTTCAGGACGTCCCTGCCTCAGCCTCACTGCCTCAGTGTTCCTGCCTCGGTGGGTCCCTGCTGCAGAGGGCCCCTGTCTCCGTGGATCCCTGCCTCAGAGAGTCCCTGCCTCTGAGGCTGAGGCTGGGGTGTGAACCCTGAGCAAGGTTCGGTTAGTGCCAGCAGCAGGGCTGTGACAGCTGCTTGAGGGCTGTCTCACGGCTGAGTTCAGGTTTCTGATCTCAAAACGAGGACTCAGTGTCCTTGGAACCCTCGGCTCCAGCCCACAGGGGTGCTCTGCCTTCTCTGGGCCTCCACACTGAGGCCCCTCCTGGCGCGGGGACAGCCAGCTGCCTGCACATGTATGCAGGGTCCTAGGGAGTGGCACGGACCCCCACAGCACCCACACCCCCAGTACGCAAGGCTGAGAGTCATTCCCCTCGGACCCTCTGCCTGGCCCAAGTCACCAGGCCCTGAGTGAAGAGAAGAGGTAGGACACAGCGATGCCATGGCCTGCTGGGCCTCTGCAATGCTGGCTGTCCCCTCTGCGGCACAGGGAGATGGGCACCTCTTCACGTCGCAGGGCCCGGGAGACCTCGCCCTCCCCCAGCTTTGCAGGCTCTGCCTCGACACATCTCTGGCCGAGAGTTGTGTCCATGAGCCCCCTGAGAGAAGCACGAGGTCTCCTAGGGACGGGGGAGCCGGGAGGGGGTTCCAGGCGCCCTCGGCCGGCTGGGCCCGGTGTGCAATCACTCGGTGTGAGGTGGGGCTGCTACCACATTCAGTGAACTGCCCACACGCACCTTGGGGCAGGTGCCAGAGGCGCCATCCCGAGCCCTGAGGCAGCATCAGTTCCGCCTCTCCCACGTACCCCCTCCAGCACGGAGTGGGGGCGGGGGGCAGCCTCTCTGGGAGCTGTTCCTCTGCACACAAGTCCCTGCAGGGTCAGGGAGGTCCTGAGCCGGGCAGCAGTCAGGCCTCTGCCTTCACACTGCTGCTGCCTGGCGCGTTCAGGGTGGATCCATCCCTCCTGCTGTGCCCCAGGAGGGCCGCGAGATGCCCCTGTCCAGTGCTGGGGGAGAGTTAGGTACTTACCTGCCGCTCAGACATGACATACAGGTAGCGCTGGTCTGTGGAGAAAGCCATGTCTCGCAGGATCGGGCTGTGGTCCTTGAGCACGGATACCGTTTCATACTGGACACCTCCATGCGGGGGGCCATCTGCCCGGATCTGCAGAAAAGCAAGGGCAGCCTCAGGTGGGGGCTCCTGCCCAGGCCTCCCCAAAGGGTGAGAGTCCCCCCACCACTCACTCCTGCACCAGGTGGGCTCGGTAGGGGATGGGCATGGCAGAGGAGCTGCATGTGTGAGCGTGCATGTGAACACTTATGTGAGAAGTGTGTAGGTGTAGGTGTGCGTGCATATAGATGAGTGTGCTCTGATGGGTGCAGTGTGTGGTCTATGGGTGCACGTGCAGTGTGTGGTGTGTGGGTCTAGTGTATGATGTGCAATGCAGTAAGTGGTGCGTGGGTGCAGTGTGTGGTGTGTGGGTTCACTGTGTGGTGTGTGGGTGCAGTGTTTGTTGTGTGGGTGCAGTGTGTGATGTGGGTGCAGTGTGTGGTCTGTGGGTGCAGTGTGTGGTCTGTGAACACAGTGTGTGTGTGTGGATACAGTGTGTGGTGTGTGGTTACAATGTGTGGTCTGGGGGGCACAATGTGTGGTCTGTGGGTGCAGTGTGTGGTCTACGGATACAGTGTATAGTCTGTAGATACAGTGTATGTATGTGGATACAGTCTGTGGTCTGTGGATATAGTGTGTGGTCTGTGGATACAGTGTTTGTGTGTGTGTGTGGATACAGTGTGTGATCTATGGATACAGTGTGCATCTACAGATACAGTGTGTGGTCTGTGGATACAGTGTGTGGTGTGTGGGTGCAGTGTGTGGTGTGTGGGTGCTGTGTGTGGTGTGTGGGTGCTGTGTGTGGTGTGTGGGTACAGTGTGTGGTGTGTAGGTGCTGTGTGTGGTCTGTGGGTGCTGTGTGTGGTCTGTGGGTGCAGTGTGTGGCCTGTGGGTGAACTGTGTGGTCTGTGGGTGCACTGTGTGGTCTGTGGGTGCAGTGTGTGGCCTGTGGGTGAACTGTGTGGTCTGTGGGTGCTGTGTGTGGTGTGTGGGTGCAGTGTGTGGTGTGTGGGTACTGTGTGTGGCCTGTGGGTGCTGTGTCTGGTCTGTGGATACAGTGTGTGGTCTGTGGATACAGTGTGTGTGTGAGGATACAGTGTGTGATGTGTGGATACAGTGTGTGGTCTACCGATACAGTGTGTGGTGTGTGGGTGCTGTGTGTGGTGTGTGGGTGCTGTGTGTGGTGTGTGGGTGCTGTGTGTGGTGTGTGGATACAGTGTGTGGCCTGTGGGTGCAGTGTGTGACCTGGGGGTGCAGTGTGTGGCCTGTGGGTGCAGTGTGTGGTCTGTGGGTGCTGTGTGGTCTGTGGGTGCTGTGTGGTCTGTGGGTGCAGTGTGTGGTCTCTGGATATATGCTTAGCTGCATGTATGTCCACATGTGAATTATGTCTGTGTGCATCTGCACATGCACCTGTATGCCATGCATACACCACACACAGGTATATGTGTGATCGTGTGTACACACTTGTGCAGACTCACCCACATGAAATGTGCTAAACACGTATCCCATGTGCATGTGCACCCACGAACACACTTCTGCGCAGAGAGAGGCAAGCATGCAAACGCATGCGTGTGCATACACAGAGATATGCAGACAAGAGCGTACATGCTCACACGGACATGCACGTAGCAGATACCGGTGTGGATGTGAATATACACATATGGAGGTGCAGTGAGTACACGCCTGGATATGTGCATCCTGCTCACGTGCTGTGTGCAGGCCACGTGTGACACAATCCGGAGAGTGGTGAGTGTGCAAACTGCATGTGTGTGAAGGCTGCTGTATGTGCAGGGTGTGTGGGCGCACAGCCAGGCCCACACTGTGTGTGCAGAGGGGAAGGTGTGTGTGCTCGGCCGCGTGTGGGCACGGCTGTGTGGGGCCGCGTGCATTCAGCCGTGCGCGGACCGCGTGCAGTTGTGTGGGGGAGCGTGTGAGCGGCAGTCGCGGGAGGCGGAGGCTCGGCGGCCCGCGGCCCTGGGAAGGTGCTAACGAGCGCGGGCGCGTCTGCAGCTGTGCACTTAGAGCCGCAGGAAGATTCGAGCTGAAGTTTATTTTCGTAGCGCTTCATGACCTGGATTATTTATAGACGGAAGTCTGTGCTGTCGCCTCCCCCGAACCTCGCATGCGTGTTCATGCGTGTAAGCAGCAGCCTGGCCCTGTGCCCTGTTCCTGCACCCGCGCCAATGTTCCCCGAGGGGACACGAGGAGCCCGTGTGCTGCCCCAAGCCAGCACAGCAGCGGGGGGGAGGGGGGGCGGGCCCCACCCCCAGGAGCGGGTCACTGACACGGACTCAGGGGTGGGACTCCAGCCTCCCCTCCCTAGATCCCCGGCAGCCGATCACAGAATGCAGAGGACCCTCTCCATGCACGCACGAATGCACACGCGTGCACGCACGCACACACACACACACACACACACACACACACACACACACACCTTCCCCTCTGCACACACAGACACTGCCAGCGCTCTGCCCACGAGCGAGCTGTCAGCAGGGCTTGTGCCTGGAGGCGCACAGTCACCCCTCTCCGGTGCCGGCTCAAAATCTGCTTAGTTCTAACACCAAGGGAGGTGCCGCATTTCGGGCCTTTCACCTGGGGGGCCGCTTCGGACGGCGGCACTGCCGCGGGACAGTCGGAGAGTGCAGGGCATGACTCAGAGAGGGGAGGGGTGCAGGGGAGGAATGGGGGTGCAGGTAGGTGAGGCAGGTGCCGGGTGATGGGAAGGGCTACAGGATGAGGGGGATGCAGGTGAGGTGACTGCAGCGTGACGTGAGGGGATATAGGCGAGGTGAGGGGATGCAGACGAAGGGAGGTGGGTGCGGGTGAGGGGAGGCAGGTGAGGTGAGGTGGAGGGGGGTCCCCTAAGGTCCTGGCTGGCCGGGGCGCAGCTGAGGCCCTGAGTGTGTCCTGCAGGGCAGCCAGCACACACGCCCTCAGGGACTTTCTCCTTGGGGGGGGGCATGTTGCCTGGTCTTGGGCCACAAGTTACGCAGAAAGGGGTCTCCAGGCACCCCAGGGTGGAGGGAGGGAGGGAGCCCCTGGACAGCCCGTCTTTGCTCTTGGCCCAGCCACCACTCCCAGACGCTGTACTGGGGACAGGCAAGGTCCCCTCCCCCCCAGACCAGAGCCCCTCAGGGGGCACAGCCGGGATGCAGGGGCAGGGCTGAGGGGGAGGGGATCCACAGAGCGGGAGCTGGACGGGGCTGCAGATGGGCTGGGGCTGGCCTGGGGCCCAGGAGGACCCAGCTGCCACCTTGGAATGTCAGAAACACAATCTGACTCCCCGCCCCCACGCGTGCTCCTGCGCGCCCCCCCCCCCCCACACACACACCCCATGCCCGCCGCAGACGCCGATCCCCTCATCCAGGGTCAGGGGGTGCTGGCCAGACCCTGATTTCTGTCCTTCCTAGGGGTCAGGGCTGCAGGCTGGGGGAGGGAGTGGGCAGGGCTTCCCAGGACTGGGCTGCGTCTCCATCCTGTCTCCATCCTGGGGACTGGCCTGATCATGGGGCCACGTGGCTTCCAGGGTAACGCAGGAACTGGGGCGGGGGCCGCTTAATAGCTGATTCTGTTCCTTGTGATTAATAGCTGATTCCGTTGCCAGTGATTGATCTGCTGTCAGTGATAACTGATTCTGCCGAACACAGAGAATGGGGGCGGGTGGAGGGGTCTCTGCGGGCTCACTCCAGTCCCTGTCGCCACTCCACAGGACCACCTGGCAGGGCCTGTGCAGGGAGGGCCCAGTGGCAGGTCGCCAGGCCAGTCCACGGCTGGAGCCACTCTGCCGCCCACCTTCCTGCCCACTCACCGGTGCACCCGCCTGTGCCGTCTCTCACCCACCCTGTGCACCCGCCCCCCCCCCCCCCCCAGACACCAGTTCTTCCCCAGAAGGAAGCGCTGGGATGTGAAGCTAGAACCGGGCAAGCCACCGCGTGGACTTGAGGCTTCTTGCTCAGCCCGCGGGTGGGTCGTGGACACCAGCCCCAGACTCGGCACTCCCAGCGCGGGGAGACGGTGGGCCCCCCTCGCCATCACCCCTGGCTGTCTGCGGCAGGCACATTGTCTCGGCATCACTGTGCTGTCAGGGGCTGCGTGTGGAAAGTCATATTCTCTCTCCTAATAACTCGGAGCGTTTTTTTCTCTTAAAAGGGAAAAATCAGAGGTCTCATTTGAAAGCCTGGATTTTACCTTAAAGAGACAGAGCTCTGAGGAAGAAGCGGGCAGGAAGGAACGCTGCAGCCCACCCGCCTGCGGCCGTGGGGAGGCGGTGGGCTGGGCGCTGCTGTGGACAGTCATGTGGGTTCACACACAGGCCTTGGGCCCCGGGGACAGGCCCCTGTGTCTCAGGCCTTGGGGACAGACCTGGATGCTCCCCTCCTCCTCGGTGACCCTGGCCGAGGCTGCACCTGCCACATGACCCTGAGCCACTCGGCCACACGTGGCTGCCACGGCAGGTGCCTCCGTGGTGCCGGAGAGGGGCTTCCCCCACGCAGGGCTGGGAGGTGCAGCTGGACACCAGCTTCAGGATGCAGGCCAGCTCCAGCATCAGGAGGGAACTTGCACTCAGAGCCCCGAGTCCTGCGGTCAGCCCAGGCCTCCGGAGGAGGTCATGGGGAATAGGCGGGGGCTGGTCAGTCTCCTGGGCATGGGCGAGGCAGTGGGGTGTGCCGGGGAGGGTCAGCGTGGCTGCCACTGAGGAGTCCTGAGGTCTGGGTCCCGCTGAGCCTGGGTGGGGCCTGTCCGGACCCCGGGTGGGGCCTGGGTCTGGCTGGACCCTGCACCTGGGCTGGCGTGAGCCTGGGCTGGACCCTGCACCTGGGCTGGCGTGAGCCTGGGCTGGACCCTACACCTGGGCGGGCGTGAGCCTGGGCTGGACCCTGAACCTGGGCGGGCGTGAGCCTGGGCTGGACCCTGGAAGGAGCTTGAGCCTGAAGGACCCTGCACCTGGGCTGGCGTGAGCCTGCTGGACCCCAGACTCTGCTTTAGCTGCATTTGCCCGGCGCCGGCTGCAGGCCGACCTAGGCTCCCGCTGGCCCCTGCCACCGTGCCGCAGTCCCGCCTGGCGCTCACGATGGAAGGAGGGGCCAGCTGGCGGGACTCCAGGGCCCTCTCGCTGATGCACAACACGTGTGGCTCCAGGGCTCGGGGCAGGACGGGGCCTGTGTGCGAGACCTAAGACACAGCTCCTGGTCCACAGAGGCAGCCCAGCCTGAGCGTCAGCCGAGCCGACTCGGGCGCGGGGTCTTGCCAGGAAGATGGAGCTGAAGCCCGCTGGGAGGAACGGGAGCCCACAGGCAGGTCCTGATGCTGCCAGGCTCAGCCAGCCTAGCTGCGGCCCCCACCCCTCCTGATGTGCACAGGATGAGGGTGAGGACCAGGGACGAGTGCCCCTGTGAGGGAGGAGGGTGAAGGGGCACTGCCCCCATGGGTCCCTCACGGTGCCAGAAACTGGGGACCACTGGGTCACCAGGCTCCCCTGCTGGGGTCAGGACTGCGGGTCGCAAAGCCCCTCACTAGTCAGGGGCAGGGTGGGCTGGGGAGGGGCCACACCTCTTCCCGATACAAAAGCCACACTGGGAGCCCCTCAAGGCTGGTGCAGGCTCTGATGGCGCTCACAGCCCCCTCTGCAAGCGCCGCTTCCCTTCCAACGCAGGGTCATCCCGTCAGGGTTGGTGAGGAGCTGAGGGACGCCAAGGACCAGCCCCACCTCTCTGACCTCCAGACTGTCCTGGGCCTGGCAGAGGTCATGGCTAAAGCCCCTGTTCCCAGGAGCTCCCTGGGACCTACACATGCCCGGGCAAGAGCCCCCTGCCGTGAGAGCCCCACGGCGCTCCCAGCGGTCATCATGGCCTGACCTCACCACCCGGCCCTTCCCAGCAGGAAACCACCCCCGGATCCGGGGCCCAGCAGAGCAGCACGTGAGCACTGAGGCCAGCTGCCCCCTGCCTGCTCCCAGTCGCTCAGGCCCTCGGGCTGCAGCCAGCCAGGCGCAGGCTGGGACATCCCCGTGCGCGGGAACTCCTCAGAGGAGCCGGGGCTGGCAGGGACCCCAGAACCAGAGGGCAGTGGCACAGAGTGGACTCCCACCTGGCAGCTAGGGAGGGGCCCAGCACAGAAACCCTATCTTTGCCACTCTGGCAGTGGGGGTCATTGTGCAGACACCCCCAGCCTGGGACAGAGGTCACAGGCCACAGAGTGGGGGCCCTCGTCATCGTCTTAGTCGGCACTCTCACTGGAGGCGAGTCCCAAGCCAGCCTGTGCATTTTAGCACCTCAGGGGCTGCGAGGACGCAGAGTCCCCAGAAACTCAAGGCCCTCAGGACTCCGAGGTCTCTCGGATGAGGTCCCTTGTTGCCACGACTCTGTGAAGAGAGACCTCAGCCCCCGGGGAAAGGGAGTGGCTCAGCGTGCAGGGGGCAGAGGTCAGGGCCCACCTCTGCCTCGGTGCCTAGACCCCCACTCTAGCCCCCATCTCTCTGCCCCTCCCCCACCCACTTCCCAGTGCCTCCCCTGTCCCTAGAGTCGGGTGCGCTCAGGTTCTGCCAGGGACATTTCTCCCCGCCGGGTCCCTTCTCTGCCCACCCCAGACTCTCCCCTCCGCCCCCTCTATGTCCCCCACCTCTCTGTCCTGCCCTCCCACCTCCTTCAGCGATTGGGAGCCCCGCCTGGCTCAGGGCACCGACTACCTGGTGCTGTCCAGAGGGTCTCTGTCGCAGGGGTGCAGCCTGGGGCCGAGGCCTGCCCTGCGCTGCACCTGGCCCTGCTCCCGGCTCCGGCTCCGTCTCTCTGGGCTGCGCTGGCAGCCTCGGACAGCTCCAAGCGCGGAGCCTGAGGGCCGCAGCTGCCGAGAGCCAATTTTGACGTCCCTGCCGCATCCACCCAGCCCTGGGCTGCGGCCGCCTGAGGCAGGCAGACAGGGGGGCAGCCTCCCGGCTCCCCACGTGAGGCGACTATGCCTGCGGGATGAAGGCCAGCGGCGGGGAATGGAGCTGAAGGGGCCCGGGGCCCTGACAGACGTGGAGCTGCACAGGCAGCTCCGACAGGAGTGCCGGCAGCCAGGCAGGGGACAGTACTCAGGGCAGGAGCTAGGATGAGCACAGGCACGCACACCTGCCACACAAACACAAGCGCACAGACACACAGAACTGTACAGACACACATGCCCATGACACACAAGCGCACGTACACACACAGGCACACAACGCGCAGGTGTGCACACATCACACAGCTGCACGTTAGTGCGCACAACACACAAATGTACGAACACCCGCACAGATGCAGGCACACGCACACAAGTGTATGTACACCGTACAACTACACGCACACCCACACAGCTGCAACACAGGCACACTAACACAGAGGCTCACGTACACCCGCACAGCTGCACACAGCACACAGGTAGACGCACACCTGAACAGCCGCACAGACACAGGACCCTCCCGGCGGTGCTCTTCCCGCTGACACTCTTCCCTACAGAGTGCGGCTGTCACAGCCCTCCCTGCATACTGGGAGGAGCAGGGAAGGGCCCGGGGAGGTGCAGGTGTGGGGGTCAGAGGGAGGCACGGTGTCCGGAGCACTCAGCGGGGAGCAGCGCAGGAGGGAGAGCGCTGGCCCAGCAGGTCCGCACACGGGACCCTCCAGGGCTCCACACGTGAGGGTGCTGCCCTGCGACCTGCCACTCCTCACTCTGTCGTGAGCGTTCCTGTCTGCCTCCGTCCATGCTGGGCACTAGGGTCTCTGCGCCCTGGGGCGTGACCTGTCAGTGCAGGCGGCCAGCTCCCGGCTGTGCAGACGCCCTCCCACGGCCGAGCTCCCACCCCGCCACCGACCAGGAGGCATCTGGGGCTGGCACCGGCTCCCATTCCCTCACTTGGGCGCCCCGCCCCCTCAGGCCCTCAGCTGCCCCTTCCGTGGCTCTGAGGAGTGGGCCGAGGGTCACGGGCGCCTGGGCGGTGGCTCTGCCGGCTGCTGCGTCCCCACGGCACCAGAGACCACGAGCCCAGAACACAGCCGAGCCCACGGGGTTTGGCAGCCGGAAGCTGGGCCGGGAGCCAAGCCTCGGCGAGGGTGCGGGGCGCTGGCTGCGCCCGCCTTCAGCAGGGCGGGTGTTTACCCGCCTCACGCTGGAGACGCTGAATCACTTCCACCTCGGGAGCAGCGGATGCGTGGCTATTGTTTGGCCACCAGAGGCCTGTTCCCACTTCCCACCCTGTCTCCAGGCAAGGCCCGCCCTGCGGGAACGGCCCAGGACACACAGCCCTGTCGGAGCACCGACCCCGCGGGAAAAGGGGGTCCTTCCTGGAGAATCCTTCAGTGCCCACAGGGTGCCGGAGAGGCAGCACCTCCGAGTCTGTCCACAGGAAGGGCCCGGGGTGGTGGGGGGAGGGCACGGGCTGCATCCTTGGGGTGCAGGCTGGAAGGGCAGCCCCAGCCCCTAGAGGCCCAGCTCCACGGCTCAAGGCGTCTGCGGCCCTGACACCACAAAGGCTGCACCCTGGATCCTGGCTCGCGAGGGCCAAACTCAGGGCTCCAGACCAGAGACCCCCAAGGCGCCTGTTTCAGGGCTGGGGACCCTGGGCCGAGCCACTCAGACCTCAACCCCTGCAGCCCCGTAGCCCCCCCCCCCGAACTTCCAGGTGGCTGTGCTATGCCGGGAGACCCCAGCCTGGCCCTTGGCACAGCCCACCTGGCAGGAAGGGCCACCTAGTGTCCCCCCTGGGGCTGGGCTGGAGCAGCTGCCCCTGCTGTGCTGCCCACACGCCCGCCCGCCTGGGTGGCGGCCCTGCCAACCCCGTGCCCACTGGCACTGCCGGCCCAGTCCTCGGGGCTTCCCTGTCTGCCCTGCGCCCACTGGCCCCTGCGGAGGGAGGTGCTGGGTCACCCCGGTGGCCCCACCCTCTGCAAACCCTCTGGGTCTCTATCTCTATTTTCCTTCCTGTACCGGAGGTGGGGCTGGAGGGTTTCCTGGGGACATTCCAGGCATTCCTTGGGCCTCGTTGACCTGGGAGCTGAGGCAGGAGTCGGTGTACGGAGAACCCGCCAGCACCCCACCAAGCCCCACCAGGAGCCCCGAGCAGCCCCTCTCGGCGAGTCTCGGTTGAGCCCACCCAGGGCCCAGGGCAAGAAGCTGCTCATTGCGCCCCACTCCTTCCCCTCCGTCTCCCAGGAGGAAAGGAGGTGAGGGAGAGACGGACGGGCCGGCCTCACCCATCCCTGCACTGCCCAGAGCCCCGTGAGCCGAGGATCCTTCTGGAAGGGGGGGGGGGGCGGGGGGGGGAGAGACGAGTCCACCAGCCCACTGACCGTGTCAGAGGAAGGAGGCAGCCTGGGCACACGTGGACCCAGGGAAGGTCACATCCTGGCACGGTACAGCCATCCCAGCACAGACCCACGGTCACCCCTGACACAGGTTCCTGTGGTCACCCAACACAGGCCCTGCAGTCACCCTGACACAGGCCCCATGGTCACCCCAATAAAGGCCCCGTGGTCACCCCTGAGACAGGTTCCTATGGTCACCCAACACAGGCCCCGTGGTCACGCCGACACAGGCCCTGTGGTCACTGCAACACAGGTTCCTGTGATCACCCTGACACAGGCCCCGCGGTCACCCACTGACACAGGGACCCTACGGTCACTCCCAGACACAGCCCCCGCGGCCACCCCATGCAGGCCCGTGTCCCTCCTACCTTCTTCAGCTTGCCGCTCTTGGTGCCCACGAAGACCACGCTGTGGCCGTTGTACACGTAGGCGGCCACGGAGGTGAGGCGGTCATGGCTGGTGGTGTAGAGTGGCAGCCCCTCCACGGGCGTGGAGCCCCCCAGGGGCTGGTTGATGTCCAAGCCACAGAAGTCGTCATCGATGGGCACCGGCTGTGGGTAGAGGGGCTGTGAGCAGGACCACCAAGGCCTGTGGGCACCTCCCCCACCCCCCCAGGCCTCCACTCAGGTCCCTCGGGCCCGTCCCTGACCCTCCTCGGGCCACGCTGTCATCTCAGGAAAGGGGGCCTCCGCTCTGGGTCTTGGGGCTGGGGCTGGCTCTGCTCTGGCCGAGGGCGGGCCGGCTGCTCCTCCCAGAGAGCACCCCTGGGCACAGAGGCAAGGTGGCCCCGCGGCCAGCACAGACACAGGCCCTGCTGTAGCTGTCAGGACCCTCCCTCCCCCCGAGATGGGGAGAGGCAGCAGGAACTGGGACCCTCTCCGCCTGGGCACCTGAGGCCCCTTCGCAGGGGTAGGGGCCACCCCCAAACCGCCGTCATGCCTGATGGCTTGAGCCCTCCTCTCCAGCCACCTCCCCTCACATGGAGCCCACGGGGCTCACACCTGACTCCAGGACCAAGGGCTGGGGCCCGGAGCGGGTGCTGGGGCTCCCTGGTGGCCCCTCCGTCATCACGCCTGCCCAGGCCTGTGCTGCACAGCCTCCTGGCCTTGCCCCAGGCAAGCCGCCTCCTTCCAGCAGGCCCAGAGCCACGGGCAGGCCCAGCCCCGTCCTCCCCCAGGGCTGCGCCAAGCCTGCAGCCTCACCCTGACCCTGCGGCCAGCGGCAGCACAGCACAGCCTGCACTGGGGGCCCACGGGCGCAGCACGTCCTGCCTCTTCTGGCTGGACAACTTCCTGGGTGCCGGTTCTGCTCCATGGGGGTCCTGGGGGCGCCAGATCCCCCTGAACACCCCTAGTCACCCTCCACCCTCCACACCCAGCACTGCAGCCCTGGGCGGATACAAGTCTGTTAACTGCTTGTCCCTGGGACCCGCGGGCAGTATGGGATGGGGCCCCCAGCAGGCACCTGCTCTGTCTCCCCAGGGCATGAGAGGTTCGTGGTGTCCAAGTGCCCCTCGCTGCTGAGCCAGGTGCCCCTGCCCCCACCCACGGCTCACCCTGTTCCTCAGGGCCACAGAGGTGCAAGGGTCCCTGCACTCCACCTGTCCCCAAGCCTGAGCGTGAGTAGCTCCGCCCACGCAGGCTCCTGGCCTTGCTGCTCCAGATTCTAAGCCAAGGGAAAGGAGTGGCCCAAACTGCCCCAACCTCCTCACCTCACCAGAGCCCAGGCCAGCGGGGGAGCAGGGTGGGCGGGCGGCATGAAGGGGTGGAGGGGCGGAAGGTGGTGAGCTGAAGGGCCGGGGAAGGAGGACGGGAGGATGGACAGGCATGGACCAGTGAGTGGAGGACAGAGAAACGGAGATGGGATGAAGCCATGGTACCGGGGAAAGGTGCTTGTTCTGTGGGCGGCCAAGCTGGGTTCAACCCCTGGACCTCAGACGGTGCCCTGAGCCCTGCCAGGAGAGATCCCTGAGCACAGAGCCAGGAGTCAGCCCTGAGCACTGTCTGTGACCCAAGAACTGAAAGGAAGATGAATGAGCAGATGCAGGGAGAGTTGATATGTGGGTGGAGGGAGGGAGGGAGGGAAGGCGGGTGGAGGCGTGGACTCGAGGAGTGGACGGGTGGAGTGTGGAGGGACAGGGAGCTGGGAGGGTGACGGGTGAAGGGACACTTGAGGGAGGAAAGGGGGCCGTGACGGGTACGGGAACGGGTGGGTATGCGGACGGAGGAAGGATGATGAGTGGCCAGTGGTGGGGAGGGGAAGGGTGGGAGGGTGGATGGAGAGGGCCGCAGAGGCAGGGCGGGGGGATGGGAGGGTGGGTTGGGTGGTGGCTGGGGGGTGGGCTAGGTGGGAGACGGAGGAACGGAGGAGGAGAAGCTGTGGGTGGAAGGACGGTGGGGGGTGACGGGTGAGGAATGAATCATTAGAGTGATGGGTGGGTCGTGGCCACCACAGGGAGGGTCGCACACTGTCCCCCTCTGTGGCCCTCAGAGGCTGGCCTGACTCCCTCTTCTCCTTGGTGGGCACTGCTGGCTCTTCACCCTGCGTTCAGACCAGCACTCACCCCTTGAGTCATCCTTCTGCGCCTGCAGAGTCTCCCTCCCTCCTGCCTCTCTCCCTGTGGCCCCCATGGCTCTGTCCCTCCCTCTGGCCCCAGGGGCTGGCCTGGGACCTGCTCCAGTGCACTGCGGCCAGACCTCCTCCCTCCCCTTCTCTCTCCGCCCTCTGGGAGTTGCTTTTCTCTGGCCCAGGTACCCAGAGATGCTCATTTATGCCAAAGGGGGCCCAGTTGGCTGCCATGCCAAGTGGGGGCTAATGAAGGTCACACCAGGGGAGGGTCCAGGGGCCGCGGGTAGGGGGCAGAGCCTTGGGGGTTCTGAGGTCAGGGGCAGTCTCTGGGGCCCTGGGGCCAGGCTCAGGGCTAACCTGGGCCCCCTGTGGGCAGAAGCAGTCCCTGGGGCCCTGGGACCAGACGCATGGCGTGGGCCAGGCCCCCCGTGGGCAGGGGCAGTCTCTGGGGCCCCGGGACCAGGCACATGGCGTGGGCCAGGCCCCCCATGGGCAGGAACAGTCCCTGGGGCCCCGGGGCCAGGCGCATGGCATGGGCCAGGCCCCCCATGGGCAGGGGCAGTCCCTGGGGCCCCAGGACCAGGCGCGGGGCTAACCCGGGCCCCCTCGTGGGCAGGGGCAGTCCCTGGGGCCCCGGGGCCAGGCGCATGGCATGGGCCAGGCCCCCCGTGGGCAGGGACAGTCCCTGGGGTCCCGGGACCAGGCACAGGGCGTGGGCCAGGCCCCCCATGGGCAGGGACAGTCCCTGGGGTCCCGGGACCAGGCACAGGGCGTGGGCCAGGCCCCCCGTGGGCAGAGGAAGCTCACCGCCTTGGACCAGGCGCATGGCGTGGGCCAGGCCCCCCGTGGGCAGGGGCAGTCTCTGGGGCCCCGGGACCAGGCACATGGCATGGGCCAGGCCCCCCATGGGCAGGAACAGTCCCTGGGGCCCCGGGGCCAGGCACAGGGCGTGGGCCAGGCCCCCCGTGGGCAGGGGCAGTCCCTGGGGCCCCGGGGCCAGGCACAGGGCGTGGGCCAGGCCCTCCCGTGGGCAGGGGCAGTCCCTGGGCCCCGGGGCCAGGCGCATGGCATGGGCCAGGCCCCCCGTGGGCAGGGACAGTCCCTGGGGCCCCGGGGCCAGGCGCATGGCGTGGGCCAGGCCCCCCGTGGGCAGGGACAGTCCCTGGGGTCCCGGGACCAGGCACAGGGCGTGGGCCAGGCCCCCCGTGGGCAGGGACAGTCCCTGGGGTCCCGGGACCAGGCACAGGGCGTGGGCCAGGCCCCCCGTGGGCAGGGGCAGTCCCTGGGGCCCCGGGGCCAGGCACAGGGCGTGGGCCAGGCCCCCCGTGGGCAGGGGCAGTCCCTGGGGCCCCGGGGCCAGGCACAGGGCGTGGGCCAGGCCCCCCCCCCCCCCGTGGGCAGGGGCAGTCCCTGGGGCCCCGGGGCCAGGCACAGGGCGTGGGCCAGGCCCCCCCCGTGGGCAGGGGCAGTCCCTGGGGCCCCGGGGCCAGGCACAGGGCGTGGGCCAGGCCCCCCGTGGGCAGGGGCAGTCCCTGGGGCCCCGGGGCCAGGCACATGGCGTGGGCCAGGCCCCCCGTGGGCAGGGACAGTCCCTGGAACCCCGGGGCCAGGCGCATGGCATGGGCCAGGCCCCCCGTGGGCAGGGGCAGTCCCTGGGGCCCCGGGGCCAGGCGCATGGCATGGGCCAGGCCCCCCGTGGGCAGGGACAGTCCCTGGGGTCCTGGGACCAGGCACAGGGCGTGGGCCAGGCCCCCCATGGGCAGGGACAGTCCCTGGGGTCCCGGGACCAGGCACAGGGCGTGGGCCAGGCCCCCCGTGGGCAGAGGAAGCTCACCGCCTTGGTGCACTGCACGTCCTTGCCCAGCAGCCAGCTGAGCTCCAGGTGGCCCTCGCCCTGGTAGCAGGAGCGCAGCCGCTCGGTGATGCGCTGGTTGACGGCGCGCAGCGGGAAGGCGCAGAGGGCGGAGTCGTCGGGCGGCTGGTGGTACTGCTTCTGGCCCTTGGAGAAGACGGCGAAGAGCACGTCCTCGCGGCCGCTGACGTTGAAGGCCTGGGCCAGCGCGGCGCCCGGCTTGGCCAGGTAGGCGGCCTGCAGCAGGCGGTACTCCACGCCGGCCCGCGTGCAGCCGAAGGGCAGCGAGACGTACGAGTGGAACTTGGGGTCCTCCTGGCACAGGCGCACGATGCGCGAGGTGTAGAAGAGGTCGCCGGCGGCCAGCGCCCCGCCCTCGGGGGTCTCGGGCTGCACCGTCAGGAAGTAGACGAAGCCGCCGCTGGCGAAGCCGTAGATGTAGAAGATGTCGAAGTGCGCCACGAGCGCCAGCGTGTCGGAGGGGATCTTGATGAGCGAGGACACGAAGTCGCTGTGCAGCTCGTAGTCCAGCATGGTGGCGGCCTCGGGGTCGCGCGGCAGCTTGCGGCTGGACAGCGTGGGGAAGTAGTCCTGCTTGCCGTCCACGGCCGTGCCGATGAAGAGCGTGCCGTCGCGGCCGCGCGCGCGCACGATGACGCCCACCATGGTGCCCGTGCGGTTGACGCTGGACAGGTAGTGCTCCTTCTTGTGCGTGGGCTCGCCCAGCGTGAAGAGGTCGGCCAGGCGCAGCAGCTTGCACACGCCCTGGAAGAGGCTCCCGCAGGCCAGCAGCCGCTCCTCGGGGTAGTCGATAAGGAGCAGCTTGTTCACGTTGTCCGTGAGCGTGAGCGCCTCGGCGCAGGGCTGCACGATGAGCGGCGGGTAGCAGGCCTTGCTGTCCTCCTCGGGGCCCGTCTTGTGCGCCACCTGCAGCGTCAGGTTGCCGGCCAGCTTGTAGACGCGGTTCACGGCGCCCACGTACACGGCGCCCGTCCCGCGGTGCACCGCCAGGTGGTTGAAGGTCCAGTCGCGCGTCTCGGCGTGGAAGGCGCTGAAGGGCGGCGGGGCAGCGGCCGCGGGGGCGGGCGGCGCCAGCAGCAGCCCCAGCACCGCGCACAGCAGCACCCTGGGGGCCATGGCACTGCCGGGCCCTGGGGAGCGGGTGCCGGCCGCCAGCGCCTCATAGGCTCCTGCAAGGCAAAGCTCGGTCAGGGCTCCGAGGCGCGTCCCGGCTCCCTTCGGACGCCACCTCGGCGGCGGGAGTTCCGCACCCACAGTCAGGGGGTTTCCCAGTCTGCCCCCTCTGGCTTCTGGAAGCTTCTCACCAGGCCCACCTCCACCCAGGGCTAGGATGCCACACCCTGTGCCCCCCCCCCCACTCCCTGGACTTCTGGGCTCAGGGCCTGGCGGCTCCAGGGAGCAGGAGCCGGCCTGTGGTTTCCACTGCTGGTGCTGTGGGGGTGGGCCCAGGGACTCTGCTCCAGGGCAGTGGGTGGGCCCGGGGCAGCTGTTGCCTAGGACAGTGGGGGGGGCAGGCAGCTGCACCCCAGAACATTGGGGCGCCCGGGCAGCTGTTCCCCAGGATAGTGGGGGGCCTGTGGCAGCTGTTCCCCAGGCGGGGGAGGGCCCAAGACACTGTGTGGGCCCAGGGCCCGGTGCATGGCTTTGGCCTCAATTGAGCTGCTCCGCCGCGCCCCCCCTCCCCGCCCTCTCTGTACTCCTGGGGGTGGGAGTCGGGTCAGAAGGGCCTGGGGGCAGGGCCCCTGGATGGGCAGCTCAGCTCCACCCCCCAGGGACACCTGGGGCCGGAAGGCAGCCTGCTGCCCCTGGGGTGACTCCTGCCGGTGACTCACACACTTCCTGGGGAAGAGGAAGAGCTGCTGGAGGGGCCAGACACAGCCCTTCCCCTCCCCCCCCCCACCCGCCCTGGGCTACGGGCACTGTAGGCCCCAGTTATTTTTAGTCCGTCCTGGGGCCGGTAGCAGGACGTGAATTCCTCAAGGAGCTCAGAGAGGAAATAACAGAAGGTCCAGTTCCAGGGCCCCTGGAGAGCCACAGACGCACGGTTCGCCGTTGCGGACTGCGCCCGGGCACTGAGCGCCAGAGCACAGGCACGGGCCTGCCTGCCACAGCCCGTGTATGCCATACCCAAACACACACGCAGGCCCACAGCACACGTGGGCCGAGTCCAGACACACGCACACTTGGGCCCTGCCGGCAGCACACTCAGGCACCAGAACACACAAGTGCCGCGTCCGAGACACACGGGCAGCTGGGCACTGCACGTGTGACGCACGTGGGTCCTATGCCACCACACACAGGTGGAACACAGGGAACACACGTGTGCCCTACTCACAACACACACGGGCCACGTCCATACATACACACGTGCTGTGTACAGGATGCACGTACACAGGTGACCTGTCCACAGCACTCACCTGGGCAGTGTGCCCAGGGACTGGGTCACTTACGTGTGTGCTGTGTCAGCACACACGTGGACGCTCTGCTCTCACACTTGTGGGCCATGTTAGCACACACCTGCCCCCGGCCCCCCGCTCCTTCTCTCTCTCACCTACACACACCCACACCCACGCGCACACATGCACATGCACACACACATACCCCCACACGTGTGCATGAGCACACACACGCACTCATGCACACACATGCACGCATACACACGCACACACACGCGCACCCACCCATGCAGACACACACACACACATACACACACACACATGTGCGTGCAGCAGGCGGGCAGAGAGGCAGAGTGGTGGGAGCAGGGAGGTGCGGCAGTGTCTGCCCGCCCAGGGCTTACCTCGTGGGACAGGGTTGGGGGCGACCTGTGCAGGGCAGCCAAGGCCCACCTCCAGGAAGGAGGGGGTCCTCAGCCTGTGGGTGGAGCTGGGCGTCAGGGTGGGGAGGGGGCAGGCAGGAACCCTCTCCCTCACCTAGAGCTCTAACTGGACGCCCAGGGGTCCAACCGAGGGGTCTAACCCGTGGCCTCTAAACTCAGGGTCTCACCTGGAGTCTCTCACTGGGCACCCAGAGGTCCAACCTGGAGTTGTGACCTGGGGTCCTGAACCTGGAGGGTCTAACCCAGGGTCTCTAATCTGGGGGGGGTCTAACCCGGGATCCCTAACCTAAAGGGTCTAACCTGGGGTCCCTAACCTGGGGGGGGGGTCTAACCTGGGAGTCTAATCCCGGGTCTCTAATCTGCGGGTCTTACCTGGGGCCTGTGATAGAAGGCTGTAGCCTGGGGTCTCTAACCTGGGGGTCTAACCAGCTCTCCCTCCGGGCACAGCTGGAGGCCAGCGGCCTGGGCAGGCAGGGGAGCTGGCTGCTGAAGTGTTCGGCTCCAGGGCAGTGGGGAGGCTTGGCAGGAGGTGCCACACCCCCAGGCCAGCAGGGCAGTTCGCTGCTGTGGGACTCCTGAGTCAGTTCCCTCCAGCCGCTGCAGGGGCACCAGCCCACCTGGCGCCCTCATCTCCCGTCTGTTTGCCGGCCTGGCTTCCCCAGGCTTCCCCCAGGGGACCGTCCCAGCTGCCCCTTGCCACGTCCCGGGGACCCCAAGAACTAGAGCTCGTCATGTGCGAGGCTGTGTCCTGAGAGACACTGCTCTGCCCAGGCCCCTGGAGAGGCCCCCTGCCCCCCTCATGTCAGCGAAGGCCCCTTCTGAGGGTGGAAACGGGGGAGGGGAGGGGTTCTGCTGGGATGCCAGGTGATAGAAAGGGTGGGCTGGGGGGAGGACTGGGTCGGGGGGGGGGGGCGGAGGACTCGGGTCTGGAGGGAGGACTTGGGTCTGGAGGGAGAGGACTCGGGTCTGGGTGGGGGGAGGACACGGGGTCTGGAGGGAGTACTTAGGCCTGGTGGGGAGGACTTGGCCTCATGGCTCATGGGTGTCTGCAGGTGGGGGCTCCCTCCCTCAGTCGATCCCCTGAACATCCGTGGGCAGCAGTGCCATACCAGAGGGGACAGTCGGGCTCTGAGGGTCGTGGGAACCCCCGTGGGTCGGACAAGTCCCGAGACTGAGCTGTGCTTCTGGGGTCAGCCTCTCTGCCCCCAAGTCCCAGGGAGGGCTGTCTGGGGTCCTGTGGGCCCCCGTGAAGCCCGCTGGGCCACAGAAGTGGTCCCTGCGGGGGCGCGGCGAGGGCGCGGCAGGGGGCCCCAATTAGAGTGGAGGATGAGCTGGTGTTTAAGTCATTACACGGGGAGGGATAATGACGGGCTGCTGGGTTCTCCTGTCACCGATGGCGTCTGCGATATCAAGATTCAGACGCCCCTGCTGCCCGCTGACAGTGGGGGCTGGGCTGTCACTCCCCGTGAGGGACTGCAGGAGGCGGGAGGGCCCTTCCTCATCCCAGCTGTCACTGTCACAGACCCCAGGATGGTCATTAACACATTTTATACACAGGCGAGGGAGGGGCGCTTCCTAGAGAAAATCACAGAACCAAAGGGGCAATTTAGATGTCACTGCCGGGGCAGCTGTGCTTCTGTTCCGTTACCTGAGCCGCCATCACTCCCGGCTTGGCTGCTCTGGGCACGGAGGCTGGGGGCAGGGTGGACAGAGGGACAGAGGGACGGGGACGGGGAGGGAGGGTCAGCGTTGGGCTGGTGAGGGCCCTGTGGCCGGACACTGCCAGACTTGGGCCTCGTGGACCAAACTCCTCTCCTGTGACCAGGTGTAGGGGTAGGGTGGGACTTGGCCCGGGAGAGCGGGGCCAAGACTGTTCTCACGGAGGAGCAGAACCCGTGGCCTGGGCATCCCTCCCTCAGACCCCACGGCCCCTCGAGGAGGGATGGGGAGTGAGGGGGAGGGGGAAGGGTGCAGGGGGCAGGCTCTGGCTCCACCCAGGGCAGTTTGGGGCAGGCCGGGGCTCGGTGGAACATTCTGGGCAGACCACAGCCTGACGCCCTCCTGACAGGAGGATCCACACGGGGGTAGGGGGACAATGAGTGAGTGTCGGGGGGCCAGGCCGGGTCGCCTGCAGCATATGCCTACACAGGGGTGCGGAGGGAAGAGCTAGCAGGCTCAGTTCCCTCTGCACTCGCTGACCGTGAATTCTGACTCCAGGGCCCTGAACGGACAGGGCTCCTGGCCTAGCGAGAGGGGCTCGTGGAACCCCGTGACTCAAGTCTAGCCTGGGAGTGCCGAGTGTCACCCCAACTTTGAGAAGGCGGGACTCAGGCAGAGGGGTTCCCAGTGCCCCCCTGCCCTCATGGCCAGGACCCTGGGAGTCTGCCCCCAGACAGTCCATCCTGTCCAGCATTACGGGGTCCGAGTCCGGCCAGAGTGCTCAGACTGCAGGGATGGAGGTGTGCACGGGGCGCTGGGGGCTCATGGTGGGGCACACCGGGCAGACCTGGCGACCTGGGACTGACGGGGTGGGACAGGTGGGGCTCCCGGCTACGGCGGCCCCCCTCACTGACACAGCACAGCACGATCCAGGGACTGAAACCCCGCCCACAACCCGACTCAGGGCCCCGCCCACAACCCGACTCAGGGCCCCGCCCACAACCCCCCAATTCAGAGCCCCGCCCACAGTCCCTCACGGCCCCGCCCACGAGGTCTGGTGCCTCCTCCTCTCGGCCTTTGCCTGCTCCCTGGGGTACCAGGCGGTTAAGGCACCTTGTCCCACCTGGACGGGCTTCTGGTACTCCCGCCCACCTCCCTCTCCGGGACAAGTTCTGGCCTCGCCCTGTGCTGGGCTCGACACTCGTGAGGCCCCAGGCCAGGGTCTGGTGATGTCCCCACCACCGGGCAGCCACCCCATTCCTGCCCCAGCACAGCCCTGGGGCCTCGGGCTCCTCTCCTGACACCTGATCTCCCCATCCCGGGAGTCTGGCTGACCCAGGGAATTCAAGCTGCCCTCCCCTGCCGAGGCTGACGCGACTTTGGGTGCTGACACTGTCTGGGGCCCGGCACCCCCCTCGCCCCAGGCAGAGACAGGACGGGTACTGGGGTCAGGCCAGGTGAGGGGACAGGCAGCTCCCCAGGGACCCAGCAGCAAAGGGGGTGGCTCTGGGCACCTCTGCACGGAGGGGACACCAAGACAAGCCCCTCCGCATCACCGCCTAGCCGGCCCTCACACCTGCCCTGACCCCCAGCCCACACCGCCCCACTGGGACTCACACAGG